GTAAACCCTTGGTTGACTACTGTGGATGGACAAAATCCTACACCTAAGAAACCATGGTTGAAACCACTGTTTGTTGGTATTTACAGGGAATCATCAAAAGCCAGGCTTCTTAGGGGGTGCAGGATTTTGTCCATTCACAGTAGGGTGTCCCCTTTTGGTGTGGATTCATCACTTCTGGAAGGAATCCCCTTATTCAGGGAAGGGTTTATTCATCCGGGGTCATCCCCCCTAGTTCAAGACAAACCCACTTAGATGAAGCATGATTAGACGGCGGAAACAACCTTCTTCCGGTGGCCCTGTGATAAAAATCCTGGAATTGTCCAAACCAAGCTTGCCCAGCGCTCGAGTTGAGCTTTGCTACCGAAACCAGCAGCTTGCAGCAGACTGCCGACACGCGGACGTGTCGCAATCCCTTTCACCTGCTTTGGGTCTTATTCTTCAACGAACTTGCGCCCTTGGCCCCAAATCTTTCAACAAGTTGAAGATGTGTTGCCGCAAGCAAACCATGGTGCGTTAGAAGGCAAACCAACAAAGCCTCAATCAGGGACCAGGAAAAAGCAAGAGACCTGTCTGAAGTTGTTTCCCGTTCTTTTACTGTTACCATGGTTTCTCTTTGAAAACTGGGACACCACCAGAACTCTTTTTTCTTCGTCAACTCCAGTGTTCCTTGGAAGGATCAAGCATTGTAGTTTTCATTGCCATTCCAAGGTGTTTCCATCTCAAGCCAAAGGCCAAGTCCTCCTTTCTTCGCTGTTCAGTTGCTTCCTCGTCCCTTTTTCTTGGGTGATTTCCCTGCTAAACATGGTTGACCACCCCAAAAGGGTCCTTCTCTCAGTACGGCCAAAACGCCTAACATATTGATTTGGCTTTGCCCCCTCAAGAACGGGGCATTTTATTTATTTATTTATTTATTTTTGGGGGGGACGCGCGCAAAAATGGACTCCTGCAAACGGGCATTACACCCGAAGACCCGTTTTCCCGCGGGTCGCTGAAAGTGGGGCGAGGGACACTTGGATGCTCAAGCACAGAGTCACCGTCATTACCGGGGTAACTGGGATTAGCCCAATGGGTAAATTGAACGAGAACTACACACGTATTTTGTTGCATCAATTATTAAACCCCTGAAAATCGCGGAATCGGCTGAAGGAAGGTTCTGGGGTTGGCTGAACCCCCTGCAAGGGGGCTGGACTTACCGTAATTTTCCAGCAGTCGCAAACATGTTATTCCTGGGGGGTGGGCCTTTTGAAGACGACGTTTCCTTCCGATGGGTCATGGGCCAAGCCATGGGTTCTGCCTATTTTCCGGAGAGCTCACCGATTCGGGGGTACAAACGAGCTCACGAAGGCTCGTCAACTGGAGATCTATAATGATTGATTCAGCTCTTGGAATGATATATTTTTACTCGCAAACATTGAGCTTGTGAAGCTGACTTTGCCCCTGGGCCTGAAACAACCCTACTAGGCCAGTAGTGCCCTTTTATTTTACCCTTTATTGGGGGAGGGCCCCCCTACTAAAATAAGCGTCCAGGAAAAAGTTGGTAGCAACTTATTCTAACCTCAAACTACTGGAGGACCTAGCCTTTTCGTGTGGAATCATCACTTTTGGAGGGAACACCCCTTATTCAGGGAAGAGCTTATTCACGGAAGGGAACGCGTCTCTGGGCCTGAGACCACCCGAAGCCATGGGCCCATTTTCTTCCCGGCGCAGGTGGCGGTGGACGAGGTGGCGCCGCCGGTGCTGCTGCAGATGCCCTCGCAGCCTCCGCAGCTGAACCGCGTGACCTCCACCCAGGTGGAGCAGGCGGGGCCTGGGCCGGGGCGGGGAGGCGGGGAGGCGGGGGGGGATGTGGCTGTGGTGGTCAAAACCGTTTGGGGATCCCATTTTGGGGGTTTTCGGTGCACCACCCATTTTAGGCTTTATTTTAGTGGGGATACTTTGGCTGGTAGGTGAATTCACCACCCATTTTAGAACCTATTTTAGTGGTTGGATTGGGATGGTCACTGGAAATACGATTTGGATTTTGACCCATGGCCATATGGGTGGCTCGTCTTCTTTTTTGGGGAGAAGCCCCCCAAAATAGAGGTGTTCCTTTCGGTTTCCCTTTAGAAGCACAACAGGGGGGCACCCACAAAAGGGATGAGGCGGGTGGATGGTCGCGAAATCCACGCCAGGCGCCAACTAAGAAACCATGGTTGAAACTGTTTGTTGATACAGAGGAATCGTATCATTCCAGGGTTCTTAGGTGGTGCAAGATCTCGTCCATCCACTGTATGGCTGTGCATTAGTGTCTTCTTGATCGGTTAGTTTGGAGACGGGTTCCACTTGTTTAGATTGGTTTTATTCAGGGCCTTCATTTTTTTTACCAAAAGGCCTATACGTGGGCGTGTTTTGTTTCAAGGGCACCCCTTTTGGTTGGTGTTGAAGGGAAACCAAGAAGGAACCGACCATTGTTTGGGGCTCCCCAACACACACACACACTCACACACACACAAATATGGGATCAATGAGAGAAATCAGGGAAGGGATGTGGGAGGATTCTTGTATTCTCTTATATTGCCATAAGTTGGCAGCTTCTCAACATGGGGTTTGACCCCCCTTTAAGTTGGTATTTAGAGGGGCCCCATAAAGGCCACTTCAAAACCGAAGTCGTGACCAGTGGAGAAGAACCAAAAGGGAGAGCCGCCCGCTTTGCAGAAAAGAGGTTACATGGGATCCCCATTTGTTGAAGGTCCCGGGGGAGTGTGGCATTTGTGACAGCTTCTTAAACAATTTCTGGGGTGAGTAAACCTGTTTGTCACTTTGGTGGACCCATTTGTGTTGCCCACAGAGCTGGGGTGATTTGTGACTGAAGAGATGTTTGCCTCCAACCAAAGGCCTGTTTCATAAATAGGGAGCCCTGTTGGGTGGGTTGTGAAGAGAAATCAAAAGGAAACTGAATTGCAACCCGTTGACTGGTTGCCCATTTACAGGCAGGGTGTGGTTTGTGACAGGTTCTATAGATAATCGTACTTGGGATGGTTTTGATGGGTTGCACTCTTTTTCTTGGTGGATGGTTTGCGTCGTGTGTCTCTCAAAGCAATGCGCCAACCCCCCCAAAAAAAATAAAAATAAAAAAGAAGAGGAACGTTTAAACATCGAAGGTGTTGGAAGTTTGTGAACTCACTACGAACCGACTTGTCATGATGGCAAGCCGTGTCAGTTTCTCTGGAAATATGTTTTTTGAAGGTACTACTGTAGCGGCTTGGGGGGCAGACTGGAAGCTGAGAAGGATGTCAGCTACGTGGTAACGGTTGGCAGTTAGTGGCTGGAAACCTAATGTCCGCAGCTTCGTTGATCAACCCGACACATTTTTTTTTTGATTGCCTGTCCTTTTCAGCCAGGAAGAGGCCTCTGCCAAAGAGGAGGTGGCCGCATCAACTCTTCTAGACATGCTGGGCCCTGTCCGGACCAGCCTCATGCGGTTCCTGGTGCAGCGAGAGATCGCGCGTGGCGAGGGCAAGTCGGGCTTGTCGCCGAAGCTGGGATGCAAATTGGGCAATGCCCATGGCGTCAGCAAACTCCAAACCGCCCTCAGAAAAAGACATACGGTTAAGGATGGTGTTCAATGCTTTCCTCAGGACTGTTCTTGCAACACTATGTGTAGTCCATGCAGCGTACCTTTGGGATGGGTTTCAAATGCAGACCGAAGTGGAGGCCCGTCGCTTGGATTGTCTTATTTCCGGACAAATCAATGTGTTCAATCTGCCAAGGGCAGGTTGTTGCATTGATTCCTGCCAAGCTTCCTGTCCCATGTCCAAGAAAGAAACAGACCACAGTGGTTGTTTGTTGCTGCAGGTTTCCTGTGTATGAAGATTGCTTCATTTGCCAAGTCGATTGCTGTAGACAGCGTTTTAGGATTTGTGAGACCCATTCATAGAACCGTCATGAAATTGAGATTGCCAATCGCCGGTCATGATTGAGTAGTGGCAGGCTACTCTGTTCATTGTTATTGCAGTGATTGCCCACTGGCGTTTTTTGAGAAGATCGGCCGAAATTGAGTGGCCAGGTTCTTTGCGTGGTCCGCATCGCCATATGTCGGACGGTCTGGATAGCTTTCCTTCCTTTTTATCTCAACACTTCTCATCTTAGGCAACCCCAATTGGTGGTTTGGATTGGTGGTTTGCGAGTTGACTCCCTGGTGCTTGTAGAGGGTCAGTGGGAGACCAACCCCTAACCACCATACCACCAAAGGGTGTGGCTCTATGAGAAACACCGGACATCAGCCCCACGTTTTCGCCGCTCGCTCAGGAACTACCTCTTGGCCCTGCACGCCACCACCACCTTCGTGGACATCCACGCGGAGTGCCAGCGGTTTCATGGCCAGGGCTGAGCCTTTTTTCGTCCTTTCCTCTGGGAAGTCCGTCGCATTTTTTGTGAGGGACTCCCTGTGCTTGTCAGACTGGGCTTAGCTTTTGGGCCTTCCTTTCTTTGGGCCATCCATCTCATTCCTCCAGGATTCCCCGCGCTTTTTTCCCTTGCTGAAAGCTTTTTCTCTGTGTATTTGGCGTCCTTCCATTTTTTGTTGGTCCTGGCCTCGCAGGGGGTCCACCGGATCCCGCGGGGATCCCGCGCGCCCCGCGCGCTCCGCGCGCGCAGGTTTTTGGTTCTGCTGAAGGCGGCGCTGGGCACCTTGCCCTCGGCGCGGGGGCCGTGCTACCGGGCGGTGAGCCGCGAGAATAAGGCGGTGGCCCTGAAGCAGTACTCCCCAGGCGAGTGGGGTTGGGGGGGGGAGGTGGGGGGAGGGGAGTGGGTGGTGGGGGGGTGGGGGGTGGGGGGGTGGGTGAGGGGTGGGTGGGTGGGGGTGGTGGGGGAGTGGGGGAGTGGGGGAGTGGGGGAGGGAGGTGGGTGGGTGGGTGGGGGGAGGGAGGTGGGGGGGTGGGTGGGGGAGGGCTTGGCGGTTGGTGGGGTTTGGCTGGGGAGGCCGGGACCTTTGCAATTACGTCATATCAGATTGTTGAGGGTTGACTAAAGTCACTGGATATGCCAGTGTGCGATGATCACAAGGCAAGCAAACCTGCTCCGTTCCTGCGGATTCATTAACAGACCTTTGTTTGCGAAACGAGTTGAAGACGGAAATTTTCTCGTGCCAATATGGTTAAGCAGAAACGGATTCCACTGTTGTCTGCTTGGTTCTAATCATTCACAACTGGGCTCCATCTGAATATGTGTCCACACCAACTAGGCTGGAGACACCTTTGTGAACGGCTCAAAAGGCAAAGCAAAAGGAAGCGCAAAACGCCACTGAATCGCGGGTGACCTCTCTTTCGGGGTAACCATTTTGTTGTTTTGGAGGGCGTTGTGATATGCTTTCACATCCCCCCCCCCAAATGCTTCTAGGTCCCCCAGTGCCCTTGACCTTTTTTTGGGGGAGGGTTCCCCTACTAAAACAGACTACAGAAGAAAGTTGGTACCCTTATTCTACCCTCAAACTACTGGAGGATCGGCTTGTTTTCCCTTCCGTCCCCCTTCCAAACCGCCACGTTTTCCTCACGGCTCAGAGGCTCCATCATCCGCTGGCCCGCCGGGGCCTGCGGCACTTTGGACTTCGGCGCCGCGATGAGCGCGCTGAGTCTGGCCGGGGACGGGCCCGGGGTCATCTTCAAGGCGCCGGGGAAAACGGGCGCGGCGCAGAAAGCGGGGAACTCGGAGGTCCCCCAGCTAGGTGCCCTTTCTGACCGTTTCTTTTTTTGGGGAGGGTTCCCCTACTAAAATAGACTACAGAAAACAGGGTACCCTTGTTCTAACCTCTCTACTGGAGGACCTAGGTGTGCGTCAACTTGGCGGAGTACAGTGGCTTGAACACCCCAAGCGCCGACACGTCGGGGCGAGGGCGGGGATTCTGGGAGGGATCGGAGTGCCTGGGCAAGAGCAGAAGCCTTGGAGAAGGACGGATGGATGGCTTTCACCGGGAAAGTTGGGGATGTTTGTTTGGATGTTCTTTGGTTGGGAAAGGGCTAAGCTTGTGCTAACTACACTGAACTAGCAAGACATCTACCGAGGGAGTTCCACTGGATGGGATGAAGGACGTCTTTTGGAGACGGTGTTTGCTGGTGCGTATCTGTGTGCATGTGTCTGGATGTGTGCTTGCCTGCCTGCCTGCCGGCCGGCCGGCCTGTATCTTTGTTTGTTTGCGAGCTTGTGCACGTGTAACACAGCGCAACAATTTGTCCCCCTACTTTGGAATCAGAGAAAAGATCCTTCCAAAAGTCACTTGCAAACATCCAGCCCCCTACAGTCGGGTGAGTTGGTCACCAAAATTCGCTCACTTTCGGTTTCGTCATCCCCTCGACCCCATATCTTGGGAATCGCGCCAATCAAGGGAACCCATTTCATGAAGCGGTTGTTTGTTTCGCGCAGGTTCGGCGCTTGCTCTCTGCAAAGGCGCGGACGTGGAAGAAAGCTGGGCTAGTCTTGTATTGAAGGTTCCCCTTTGGGGGTTGCTTTAACGGGACGCCGAAGTAGTCAATGGTGGGTGTGCGGAAAAGGAAACCCCTTTTTGGGATTGAAAGGGAACAAACGAGCTTTTAGGACCCCATTTTTTGGGGACACAAGTATTGCGGCATTGGGTCCCATTGTTCCAAATGTTGTTTTACTTATGGCCAGGAAGTCATGTTGGCTTCCCTTTCACCCCAAACAAGGTACCCTCATGTGGTTTGGATGAATTTGAAGCTCACTGGCAGCCGTTGCTAGTAGGAGTTGGGTTCAAACATCACCTTTCTGGCCCATGGAAGGTGAATGTCCCTTGCTGGAGGAATATGTTAAGGGGAAATATAGGGCCCAACCGTGGATCAACCATATGCTTTGTAAGTCTTGGGCCAACGTAAGCTGCGATAGGATCACGTGGCAGCTAGCAACGAATTCCCCCGAAGCCGTGGCAACGAGAGCTTGGTTTTCAAAAGTGGACACCAAAGGGCTGGTGCCACTGCCCTTGCAAAGCTGGCGCTGACTTTGACTTAACCAGAACAGGGGCTTCCCCCCCTCCCCCCAAAAAATCAGATGGCACCGGAATTCGTGCCGAAACCGAGAAACAAGGGGGTTCACTCACGGACCCTTCCTTCGCAGGAGGTGGACGAGAGCAACCGCCAGGCCTGGCCGGGGCCCCTCAATTTCCTTGTTTTGGACCTTCAAAGGTGGCAGTTTTAGTGGAGCCCACTAGCAAATTGCACGGGAACTGGTCGATTCAATTCAAAGGGAAACCACCCTAGGAGAACCGAACCCGTGAACACGACTTCACTTTCAACTGTACCATTGAGTACCCGAAATGTGCTTGCGCGTTATGCTCCTGATAGAAAACACCTGAAATATACGACGGAGGCCAGCTGGTTAGCGGTGTTTGTCGGATTTGCAAATTCAAGTTTGCTGCCGCATAATTTTGATCCGCCTGACAGTTGGCACGGTATCGGCCACGAAAAGAACTATAAGGGGTCAAGTTGGTTGGGACTGTCTCCTACACAACTTCAACTACCCAGGTTTGATTGTGGGCCACCTGGATTGGCCCGACGAAAGTGGCGGATAGATTTCCAACCACGAACATGATCCTAGAAACACAGGTGAGTGCAACTGTGTGGTCAGGGTTGGACAGCCGTGCATGGTTGAAACGCCCTGTGTGCCGGAATTGGTGGTGTCGCTGTGTTTCTCCCTTGATGTCCCTTTGCTTTCAAATCGTGGATATCAAATGCAGGATTCGGTCAACTCGTTCTTGCGCAGCCTTCCCCCAAAAACTCCCAATTGTGGTTGATCATGTTGACAACCTAAGCTGCAACAGGCAGGTCTTCCGGGGGAGGGGGGTTCAAGCAACCCTGGTCCTGCTTCTTTTGTGTCGTTGGTAGAACTGTCCCAAAAAATGCCCATCCTATTGAATATTTGCAATTGTCCCCTGTTGGGTTTTTGAAGGGAATCTAGCACTACTAGAAAAGTAATAATAAGAAGAACATAAAACATATACATATACGATATCTTTCCATGGGGCTTGAAACAAATGGTCAGCTTCTCCCTAGTTGGTTTAGATTGGTGGTTTGGGGATTGGAACCACTGGTTCTTGTTTAGGAAACCACCCCCTGACCACCGAACCATCGGGCTCCAAACCACCAAGTCCTCACTCCCCGACTTGCGGGAATTTTGAGCTTTTTGGGAAGTTCCGCTCCCATTCCTATTCCTGTTCCCGGCCCCTTTCCCGTTTCCATTCGCGCATGGGAATGGGAACGGCAACGGGCATGGGAAAAATAATGGGAGTGCGACCTTTTTTTTTCCCCACTCCAGTTCCCCTTCAGTGGTAGATAAAAAGTTCGGACTTGTTTGGCCAATCCACTCAGGAAGTCAGAAATTTGGGGGAAGCTGAAATTGGTCAGGAAATGGCGGTGGGTCAACACCAATGGTACCATTTTGGTAGGTAGGTGAATCCACCACCGATTTTAGAACCTATTTTGGTGGTTGGATTGGGGGCTAACCGATTTGGATTTTGCCCCATGGCCAAATGGTTGCAGTTTCAGGTCCTCTTCATGGGCGGCGCCATGCGCGTGGTGGGCCTGTTCCCTCTGAGCGGGCCCCTGCTGGCTGCCGAGAGGGAGCTGGCACAGAAGCCCGCGTCAGAGAGGCGAGAGGGTGGCGAAATGGCGGGCGGTGGCTGGGGTTGCACACGTGGAGCCCCAAAGGCCGCCAACTTGTTAGCAGAAACCTTTTTGCAGATTGAGATGTGCGTCCTAAAATAGCAGACCCCCCCAAAAGGAGTTTGCCTTTAGAACCAACCAAAACAGCCCCCCCCCCCCCCACACAAAAAGACACACTCAAATGTACATGGAACCGCCACAAAAGTTCCCTGTCTAGGAAGCCGCCTTTTTGGTGACCTCCTTCTTGGGGAATCCTTTTTGGGTTCCTTCCGTTAGTTTGCAAGGGCAAACTTCCCAGGGTGGTCCATTTGTGACTACCCTATTCTGGAGTCTCCACTTTGTTTTTATTAGAAGCAGAATCAGACATCATATTTTCTGTGTACAGACGTGAGCCAAGGTAAAAAAAGAAAGAAAGCGGGGAACGGAGTACTCGTGGGAGGTTGGGGAAGTTTTCAGGAGCTCTGAGCCAGGAGTTTGCGAAGGGCCAGAACCACTTGGTTCACTCGGTTCTAGGAAGGTTGTGGACATGTTCTATGGGGCTCCATTTGGTTGGTTTAAACTTGGTCGTTGGGTCCAGGAAAGTCCTCATGTTGAGGGCCCAAAATGACAGCCTACACGAGTTTTGTGTCCAAAATTCGTGTTTTTTTAAGGATTTGGGCCTCCAAAAAGGGCCCTTGAAGCCAAGGTACCCTCAAAAACCATGCACCCACTGGGTAAGTAGGTTGTGACCAACCCACTTGTGCCGGTTGGCCAAAGACGCAACTGGGTGCTTGCGAAGGTGAGCAGGCGAGCTCGCTTGAAGATAACGAGCTCACCATGATGTATAGGTTCTCTACCTGGAGATCCTTTATTTCAGGTTGTGATTTTTTGGATTTTTTGCAGATTAATATATATATATATATTAATATATATATATATTTGTTTCAACGACAACGGGGGAGTGGCACATTTTGGAGTAAATCCTTCACTTGTTGGGGCACACACCCATGAATCTGCTTTTGGTTGATTAATCCGGATCGTCATTGCTTGGATGTTCAACCCACTGAGATAGGTCACAATCATGGGCTACATTTGGGCTAGGTGGGGCCAGTTCCCTCACGATACCTGACCTATAACTTGTTGGTCTTCAAAATTCAAGCCAACAGAAAGGTAGACACTCAGGTGTTCCGCTAAGTTAGTAAGGGGTTGAACTCATCCACGCTACACTAAGAAGCATGGTTGTAACCTATGTCTAAGTGGATTGACTGTTCAGGTAGAGCGAGGGTAGAGTGGGACTCTCTGTGTTTCCCCTTTTGGCGGTTTTGATCATCACGTGTCGGGTCACGTTGAAGTGAGTTCCTTTCAGGGTGAAGCTTACAGGGGAGATATATGGAGTCTTGCAAAGTGCAGCCGCGGGCGGGGAGGAGCCCTTTCCACCTGCCTCAATCCCCAAGCACCAACCAGCCCTGTTGCAGGCGATTTTGAACTTGTTTCAATCCCGGGTAGGCCCTGAAAACAGGTCAGCAAGAATGTCTGATTTTTAGGGTTTCGTTTCCCACATCCAACATTCCTGAGAACATTTCCTGGGGAGCGGGGGGGTTTGGTTTTTGTGGAATTCTTTGGGGAGGGGACAGGGGACGCGGTCAAATTCTCACAGAAGGAGTCAGGAAGCCTCACGTGCCTTTCATGAACGTGGTGTCCGGAATCCTTACCCTGCAACTGGTGGCTCTGATGTGAAACCACCGGCACCCAAAAGTCCTGCTGAGAACAGGTCACTCAATACTTGGTCCCCCAGCAGTGCCCTTGTACCTTTTTTTTTTTTTGTTTGGGGGGGGAGGGTTCCCCTATAAAGTAGACTACAGAAATAAAGGGTACCCTTATAGCAACCTCTACTGGAGGACCTAGCAAATGGCTCTATGCCAACACGAGGCAGCGGGCCAAGATGTTTTTCACCGGAAGCCTGGAAGCAACGTTCCAGGCCCCTCAAACAAGAAGCGACCTCAAACAAGAAGCAACCAGAGATCCAGTAGCTTCAGTTAACGGAAGCCGTTCATCGGGATTCAGATATGCGCTTTGGGTTTTCAGGGAAACACCACACAGGGTCCAAACCACTATGGCATACCCAGATTGGTGTGGATCTTCTTTGAGTTGGTACCCTTTCTTGGTGGTGTTAAACGGATAACAGGAAACCACCAAAGATCCCCTTGTTGGGGTCCACCAACCCATGGTATTTTTGCCTGCTCGTGTTTTGTTTGTCACAGATTGATCCAGCAAACATCGCCATTGTTGACCATTTTGGGGGTCGGATTCCTAAAAACAACTCACACCCCAAGGTCCCCATAGATGTTGGGCCCAAGCCGGTTGTTCAGGGCTTTTGGGGAATTGCTCGGCCTTCTCCCTAAAATTTTCGGGGGGTCTTAGGGCCCAGGTCTCACCCAAGACTCCTCTCCGGTCCCCGACGGATCCACGGGGTGCCTCGTGCGAGGCTCGGGTCCTGGTGCCCCAGCCTGGACATGGTGCGGCGCCCAGAGACCGCGCAGCCCGCGGAGATGGAGACGCAGCGCCTCGGCGAGGGGGCGAGACCGAGACCGAGGGGTGATGGCCTGGTGAGTTGGTTGGTTGGGTGGGTGGGTGGGTGGTTGGCCCGTTCTTTATGGAATTATGAATGTGGTCGTGTTTGTTTGTGCTTGTATGACATGTACGTGACGTTGCTGTTTCACAGGCTTCAACGTTCGAGTCCAGTTCTGCTTTTCCAAGGGCCTTCGCGAGCTTCAAACTATGGGCTGAGTGATGTTGGATGCTCCGTGATTGCGCTAGTTTTTGAGTTGAGTATTGGATAAACAACAACTTGATCAACAAAAACCCATAGCAACAATTAATGTAACCGAAACTTCCGACTGCTTTTGGTATGGTCGCTTGTATCCATTGTTGGAAGGCTGATGAGGTAAACAACTACATCACAGTAGCAGTCCAAAACAGGCGGCAAGGGCATTTACACAGTGCACACATAATTCACAGAAGGCTGCATCCATTAACTTAACTGACAGAACTCTTGTACATTGCAGATGCACGATTCGTTGCTGTTATATCCAAGCCTGACTATTGCAGGGTGTTGCTCCCGGCTTTAAGATTGAACCAAGGCAGTGATGCTTTGTGCTTGTTGGCAGGCCGAGCTGAAAGCAAGGCTTTCCAGTTTCTGTTTGTGTCGTGTCAAGTGAACCTGGGAGCTTGACATGTTCAGCTTCCGGTTTTGTTGGGCGCAAGTGGGTGGCTCGTCTTGTTTTGAGTTGGTACCCGTGTTTGGGTCGGTTTTAAAATTGACACCAACAGGAGAACCATCATTGGTTTTGCGGGGGTTCCCTAACAAAAACACCCAAGTACATTCCAGGTTGCGTCCTTTTTGCCCCGCCTTTTTGTTTTCTTCTTCGGCTGCAAGAACCGAGGCCATTGGTCATGGTGCTGTTGGATGAGGAAGAGGAAAACTGAGTGATATATCCGGAAGATCGAAATTATCGCCAATCTGCTGAGAGGCCCTGGGTCGAGCTGTCTGATGTTGTCTCAAAACTCCATCATGAATCAAGTCTAAGCATCCTGCAGCCTCCATTGATGCATCAAGTTTTGCTACGAAGTGTTTCTGCTCGTGACAAGCTGTTCTAGAATATATGTACGATTCAACAAACATCGCTCGAGTTGTCAGCAATCATGCCCGTCAGAACCCATTCCCCGTACCATATTTTGGATGTGCGCTCGTTTGCATTTGTTCGGTCTGTTGCGCCGATTTGCGCTCGCTTTGCACTTTTTGTTGCCCATGTTCCGTTGATGACTCTTTCCAAACTCGCCTCCGAGAAGAACATGAAACTACCGATTCAATCTCTGCTCGAAGCCCCAAAACATGCACGAGAGCAACTGCGGAGGAAAACAACCGCTACAACGTCAATTTGTGTATCGAACCAGGGGGGAGGCGAAAGCTTTTGGCTACGATAGAGGCTCCAGGATATTTGAAGGACATAGGAACAAATGTGATGCTTGAGCTATTCAGTGGCTGGGATCCGGGCGCCGGAGAGAGAAGTTTCAGGTGCTTGACAGGCAGCACAAAGCGGCGATGCTTGGAGAACTTGTCAGGCTCACTTGATTCAAGGCCTTCACATTGCTTCCTGGAGCCACAAGTGGCACTCGGAAAAGATGAATCTGCTTGATCGGCAGCAAAGGGTCCAGCACCAGCCGGGTCCCTTCTGAAGCTCCGGTCTGTTTCTCAAGTTTCAAGGCTCACTGCTCGGTGAAAGTCCGGTGGCCGGATGGGAGGTTTGAAGCTCTTGCCCCAGCACCTTTGCCGCTCAAAATTGGCGCAAGGGGCCGAGAGGGCATTGGCTCCAGCTTGGCACACGCGGTTTTTTGGCCACATCCCAGGGTGTCGAGAGAGACACGGAACTTCATGGAAGCATCTCGCACCATTTGGGGGTAGCTTGTGTAGGCGTTGTGGTTTTAAAAGGGAAACCAAGAGGACAACCACCATTTTGGGGTCCAAATCCTAAAAAGACACACTTTGCATATGGTTCTATATGTCAACGTGTTGAAGCAGACCAACTGTTTGCACATGGCTACATCTGACCGCATCATAACACTCGCGACACCGAGCCATGAACCGTTTTGTCAAGCACACCGGTGGCGCACGTTTGTCAAGCCACCCCTGTGCCGAAAACCGCCGAGGGGGCGAAGCCTTCTGCGGCGCGTTACACCGTTACACTGTTCCGTTCAGGCGGGCTGGGCCTGAAAGCGAGGCAAGGGCCGCATCTAGATCTTTCTAAGGATAGCTTCTTTGACCATCCCCATCTTTCTAAGGGCAGTTTAATTTTGACCAATCAATGGATGGTTTAGGTGTTTTGAAAGTCTTCTGGGGGTACCTTCCCCATTCTTTCCCGGATCCGGATCTTTCTAGAAAACCATCAACAGCCCTAGGAAAACAGCGATCGGTTTTTGAAAAGAAGGATGGATGGTTGAAAAGAATGGGGAATCACACCTTGAATCTTACTTCCCAAGTCCCTGGCCTTTACCCTTCTGAACACAAAACAAGTTTGGGAATGCTTTATCTGGCACTGGGATCACTTCTGGTGGGAAGATCATGTTACTGGTAAATAAACAGTTCAGGCTTTTTTCAGCGCTCTCTTTCAAATGATCCATGTTGTTTTAGAACATGAAGAATACATGCCCTGGAGATTCTGCTGGATTTGGAGCAGCAATCCAAATCATCCTTGTCTTCAGTTGCACATGGCGGGGAGTAGGTGGCTCGATTCTATGTTCGCATCAAGCCGCGTGTTGACTTGTTGCATGCCATGAGCAACAACATGAGCCAGATGCTGGGCCATTGCTTTCTTGTCACAAATAATTGCTGTATAGATGTCATAGACTTTGTTGCTGAGGCAATCACTGACGGCCCTTCCTGCGTTACTTCATCGCTTAGGCAGCATGTTTCGCCCTGATGTACAGTCTCTTGGCAAATGAAAACCGGGCGGCGTCCGAGTCTTGCCTTGCATGGGGCGAGCCCCAAAGGGATTGCGGTTTGGCGAATCAAAGAGCAACCGAGAGGAAGCCACTTTCAACAGCGGTTCGCCTCTCCGATTTCAGATGAGTCACTGGTGAGGTGTGAACCCAGGACCGCAGATGGTGGACTTGCCAGTTTGGTTTGCCCTTTCCACTCGTCAACAGGGAAGGGGCGGTCCCTCTCTAGATTGACATAGCAAGGCATGCTCCATGAATCTTGGGCCGGACTCGCAGCCAAACGTGGTGTCATTTGTTCAGCTTGCCGTGGGGTGTGCGGTGAAGTGGTGGGGAAACGGCACGGGGCTTCGGCCCTGTGAACCAGGGGCGTGCCTTCCGCAAGGGTGACCAACCAATCAAATGTGTCATTGCTTGTCCATAAAAAAAAGAAGAAAAAACAACGATCACTTTGTATACCATCCGTAATTTGTTTTCAAGTCCTGCATCATTTACAGGGCAGTTCCGTCAGGACCCCTTTGCATGGCGCAGCTGAGTCTGTGCGTTGCGCATGGCGATCAGTGTGCTTGAGGGACACAGGCGGCCAGCTCAGCAAGCTCCCATTCCCTTTGCTTCTTGCCGGCTGTGGCAACAAAAAGCAGCTGTAGCTGCAAATGCTTCGCGAACGGATGCTGCTCGCCTGCGCCCTGTGGCTCTAGGTAAGGTCAAAATGAGAACGACATAGAAGCGAAGGGATCATCATGTTTCTGGTGCAGGAATTGCCGGAAACGCAAATGCTCCGTGAGCTCTACATTTAGCTGAATAGATGGGATGGCACATCATAAAGCACAAGAGTGATTTGCAAAGCAGATGATTACCGTACTTGCCGGAAATAATCACGAACATAGAGAAATTCCTAGAATTGTGACCTCTACCAGCCAGAGCCTTGGGTGAAAGAAGCTTCTCAGATGAGACGTGCCCTTTCATAACATATCTTTGCTTTGGTGTGTTTCTAGATGGGGTAACGTCGGAATTGGTGACGTCGGTTTTGGGTTCCCTTCAAAGCAACACGCAAAAAGCACCCACACACCTGTTTACGGTTGACTCCATCATCTTCAAAGCTGCAAGCGTGTCGGCGCCGCTTTGCGGATGCACCAGGCGTGGCTCGGGGTAGTGTCTATGGGCAGGGAGAGTATTTTTAGGGCTTAGACCCTAGTTCAAGTCTGAACAAACCGATGCTCCATGAATTCGCAAACTCCCGGTCCAAGTGGATTTCTGTGGGTTTTCTTTCCGGCAGCACTTGGGTTGGAAGCCTATGTTAGCGCGGACAAGACCCTCTTTGAAATCCACTGCAGGCTTTGTTTCTTGTTGTTCCTTGTTGCCTAGGGCATGATGTCAAACGCAAGGTCATGGTCGCTTACTGCTGAGTGCATTCTTACAGCTGTCATATGTATATTAAATATTTGTATATATACACATATGGTACCCCCCCCCCCCCACCCCATGGACCCTGGTTTGGTGAGCTGTGTCGGTGTAGCGTTTTATGCCTTTTTTGCCTCGTTGATTTTGTGGCAAAGCTGGAGGGGGGTGCCATATGTATATAGACATGTGTGCATACATATGTAATGTAAGAAAAGATATCAACATCTGCCATCAGACAGAGTCTGCATCCATCTGAGAGTATTGGGACAACCCTGAATTTGTTTTTTAGAAACAAAATGAAACCTAGGATTTAAGAGTCAATAATATGAGATAATTATTGTTCGGAATCTTGAATGTTGAATCTTGCATCCCATATGTATTTGTTTCAACACAAAAAAACAGGGTTGACCCAGTACGCTAGGTGTTCAATACATGCTTCTGCAACCAAGCATGCGCCGCATGCGCACTCATTTGCAGTCATATGCATTTCTCCAAATTCCCGCAATTTCAGGATCAAAGTGAGAGGACACAATTATCGTTTTTTTTTTTTTTTTTCAATCTTGAATATTCAATCTGCGGTAAAATACTTTCGAGGTTTTAGAACAACTTGAAAGCTTTTGGGGGGGCTGGCCAGGATTGATGATTCTCTGTCCAATCTTCAATTTTGACTCCTCAATCCAGTGGTAAAGCACTTTTGTTAGAATAACTTGAATGTTGTTTGGCTTTGTCCAGGATTGACGATTCTCAGAAAAGATTTCTGTGTAATCTTCAATCTTGAATCTTCTATCCAGCGGTAAAATACTTTCAAGTGCTTAGAGATTTCAAGTTATTAGTTCGACAAACTTTCAAGTGCTTTTGGTCATGTTGACCCTTTTCCAGGAGGTAAAAAAAGGCAGGTGTACTGCTCAACAACACTGTATTTTACGGTATTTTACGAAGAGGCGCAGGTTCTATATCTTTGTATGTATGTGTATAATATATATATATATATGTTCACACACCATCACCCCCCCCCCCCCGCCCCGAACTACCTGTCCACCTCTGCTCATCTACTACCTCAGCCTTTCGAGATACGCGAAATTGTGATTCCTGCCCAAACAAAACTTTAAATACACTTAATTTAGCTAGAATCCCTGTTCGAGGTAGTTTTAGAATTTGAACCTCTCTTCCCTTGAAATGTCCACGTTGAAACACCGTCCGACAAGCTGATTTCGGACCTTTCCTATGCTACAAAAGGGCCATCATATAAATAACACACACCGTAATACGAATGTCCTTTTAGACGTCCTTTAATTGTTTAGCCATATTCAATAATATATATATATATGTATATTTCAGAATTAGTTTCTATTTAATTGTTATTATCAAAAAGACATTCAGTTGTGTTTGCATTAGATTATATTTAACACTTCAATTATATTTGGGAATAAGTTCCTATCTAATTTCTGTTGTTAAAGATTAGTTGGATATTAATTGAAAGTATATTTATATGTTCATATAACTCGCGTTTGGAAAGGATTTTTAAGTTATACATGAACATAAATCACAGTTTGCAAAACTATATCCTTACTAAACTATGCTCAAAATTCCAATTCTAGTTGAAGCAAAATCCCATTTGGAAAGGGTATCATATTGGGACATTTCGGAGGACTCCAAGCTCGAAGTTATCAGGCTTTGGGGGACCAGAAACTGAGAATGTAAATCTCTAGATTGTAGATTTATCATCCCCAAAAAGGCACTAGAACCAGGGTCCATGCGGAGGTTGCATATGAATACATATATATATATATATACGTTATATGTGTTTATATACATACACACCTGCACATGTGCGAAACATCTTCATGCTCGCCCTACCTCGAGAAGGGCCAGCCTCAGGCCCTCAGGTATAATATATGCTCCGTCTTAGAGGTCCAGGAGTTCACTTCACAGCCCTGTTGCCACGTGTTTTCACTGTGCAACTACTGTGGATGGTTGCGAAATCCGTTCGCACCACTTTGAAACAATTGGAAACCATGGTTCGTTGGTATTTTGCCAGGGGATCATATCATTCCAGGGTTTCTTAGGTGGTGCGAAATGGATTTCGTTCATCCACAGTATGCTCGGGGTTTTTCTGCTCCCAAAGTCAGAGCCCTTGGTTACAGACATTCTTATACCTCTTTGCTCGACGAGAGCTTGATTTGCATTGCTCGGAGCTCTACAGGATGTTCACACGCACAAGAGTAGAAGCTTGGTTTGATTTCCGTTGGTTTCCCTTTACCAGGACCCAAATTTCTGCCTGGCGGGGCTTTTGGAGAAATCCTGACTGCGCAGCATGCCCACGCGCCGCATTTGTCCGCCTCAGGCGCCTCATGGCGAAGGCGCCGGGCTTATACAGGGTGTTCTCTCAACACTCGCTTGCTTCGTTGACCTTCAACCACGTGTTCTTGCCGTTTCAGGCGAGCCCCCCGACAAAGAAAGGTCGCTTGACGGGCGCGGCAAAGCTTGCAGGGGCCTTTCTTGGGTCCGTAACAGCATCCAAGGGGCATTCAAAACACACGATCGTACAGTATGCATGCGAAGGCCGCGGCTATCGTAATGAAGCAACCAAGGGGCAAAGTAATTTCAAAAGCAATAGGTGATCGCTCAAATTGCCACTTTTCCTTGGGCCTTTCCGATTTTCCTGGACGGCTCCGTTTCCAGAGCTGGCGTGGTACACTTTTGTTTTCCAGGTGAAAACCTGCGAAGGGCGCGCATGAGCCCAATTAGAAACGGGAGGGGAGGAGTCCATCAATTGTTCCACATGTTTTCCCCGTGAAAACAATGACGAGCATGAAACGGGGGGGTAGACTTTTGTCTCAAACACCAACTCCATGAAATATACGTCCTAGCCTCAACTTTGCTGTTTTGTGTCATGTCTTCGACTAATGGATCTTGCGAACACGGCCAACGCTCAAAAGGCGGAGCCTGAATCACGCATCTAATTTGCTTTAAAAGTGTAGTGGAGTGTTTCAGTCAGTTTGCCACTATGCTAGAAAAGCCATCATGTCAAAACTTAACTAGGTAGTTGCTATATAAACAGGGAAATGAAAGTACTGGGACTAAAAGGCGCATGTCTCTAGACACAAATCCAAGCTCTTGGCTCCGATTTTGGTGCCCAAGAACAAGGCCCGCCAAGTGATGTGAGGCAAGTGCCAGGGCTTCTCAGCCGGACAAACTTGCCAACAGTGTCACTTCATGGTTGTTGGGAAACATTTTACATTGTTGCTTAATGTGATTTAGTGGGAAATCCCCACTTAACTGCATTTTTTTTTCGCTCCCCTTCCAACGTCAACCAAGTTCACTCGTTGTCGATGTCCATATGGCCCGCAAGGCGATCAAGCAGAAGAGCAAGAAGAGGCGCAGGGGATGTGGGCGGCTGAAACCATGCGAGAACGGATGTGAGCCACGTGTGGTTGGGGGAATGTGTGATTGGTTTGCAGGTAGTGTGTGTCCTCTTCCAACAATAACAGCACGCGGCGCGAGGCATTGGTTGTTGCGTTGCGTTGTATCTTGGTCGCACAGTTGTTTTCCTTGTGCGTCCTTTAAAGCGCCAAACATATACTCAGGCGATGACTTTTGTGCATTATTGCAAAACCAGCAAAGCGCCGGTTGAAGTATGCAACGATCTGATGTCAAGGGCATTTTCAGCTATGGGGTTTGGAGGCATTCAGATTACATATGTTTCTTATATAGGGGGTATATAGTAATATTGGTGGTATGTAAGTATCCATACCTCCAAAACCCATGCAATGCCCTTGGGTGTTTCCAGGCATGACGCTTTGGTTGGCTGATGGGAGCTGGTTTGGGTCCCCACTTTGGGAAGCACCCAAAAGCTATATATATATGGTATGTATAGATACAGATGTAGTTGTTTCGGCGGGCAAAGCGGACATGGGAGACTAAGGCGCAAGACTTGCGGCTGACAATTGGACCCCGCAGCATCGGCCGGACGAAACAAGTGGAAAGCTAGGCAGCTTATGTTGAGGACGACTGCAAGTCAAAAAGAAGATCAACAAGCAAGCGTTCAGGCGATGCGTGTTTAAACAGCCAGACCTTCGGCCCAAAGTAACGGTAAACCAAAATCAGGATATCTAAGCAATTGTGTCTAAAACTTGTTTGAAGTAGCGGTGGGCCCAGGAGAATCCCAGGTGCACTAATTGCGTGCGGCATGCTAATTGCGCGCAGCATGCCGTATCAGGACGTTGAGTTGAAGGCTGAACAAGCACAGTGAGCTGCTCAAAGGCAATTCAATCTATCAGAAATCACGTTCTTCTGTCGTAAGGAGCTGAATCACATGTTAAGCCTTCTTGCACAAGCAACTCCCCAGGCAAGGCAAGACTGAGGCGTGTTCGCTTTGTTCACACAGGGACTGTTGTTTGTTTGAGCATGCAATAGCGAGCTGCTTGATTTGCATTTGCATTGAAATTTGGCAAGGCCATCACGAAAACGCTTTGAATAACCTCACTTGCTCAAACCTGACCTTTTAACCTTTTGGTTTTCCTATGTTGGTCCAATCTTTGGTCACGGCCCCAATTTAGATTATTGACCTAGTATTTCTGGGTTTTTTGGGCAACTGAATAACAGTTCTCCAATGGCTGCACCTGCCCGTCTGCACCGCCTGCATCTCGCACCGCAGGCGGGTGCCGGAGGTGGTGATGATGCAGCTCGAACCAGCAGCTGCCTCAGCGCCCGTGTCGTCGGTAGAGGCAGCTCGCTTGTTTTGAAGCGTTGGAGGAACGCATCGTTCTATTATCTTGGCTGAGGGAGGGTGGACACCAATCCCTGAACGTTTGGCTGGGTTGATGATGCTGTTTGGGTTGGCTGTCCTTTTTGATGTTTTTTTTTCGCCGGTTCACAAAGGAACTCAAAGCAACAGCTGGTCACTCACCCATCCCAACCGCAACCAAGGAGCAGCCAAGAACGGCCGGAACATGTAGCCAGCGAGCCCGGCGTTGCTCAAAGAAGCCCCAGCGGATGGAGTCGCTCGCGCGGCAGATGACCCACACACTGAAGCCTTCAAGACGGGAGCAGAAGGCCCGGGCAAGGTCTGACCGGCCTGCCCGATGCAGTGGGACCCCGGATTCGCCGCTCAAGTTGCAAAATGCGCGTCGGGAAGTGAAAGCCATTGGAATTGTGTAATCTCCAGATGTTCAAAGCTCAACATGTGGCAAGGCGCCTGCCAGTTGTTTGAAGCCATGCGATCATCAGCGGCCCAAATGGACGTGTGCACCTTCAATACCATTATCAGTACATGCGGAAAAGCCACCAGGTGGCAACAGGCGCTAGCCTTCTTCACGGCGATGCCCGAAGCAACCTTGCAATCAGATGAAATCAGTTTCAACGCAACCATCAGCGCTTGCGCAAAAGGTGGGCAATGGCAGCAGGCGCTGGCCTTGTTTCACGTCATGCCTGGAGGGAAAGTGCAAGCTGATGTTATCAGTTTTAGTGCAGCAATCAGCGCTTGCGAGAAAGGTGGGCAGTGGCAGCGAGCTTTGATACTTTTCCAGGCGATGCCTGAAGCAAACGTGGGGACAAGCGACATCATCAGCTTCAACGCGACCATAAGCGCTTGCGAGAAATGTGGTCAGTGGCAACAGGCGCTTTCCTTGTTCCAGGATATGGCTCGGGCACAGGTGCAAGCCGACGTTATCAGTTTTAATGCTGCCATCAGCTCTTGCGAGAAAGGCGGGCAGTGGCAGCAGGGGCTTCTCTTGCTGCAGATCATGACAGAGACAAGAGTGCAAGCCGATGTTATCAGTTTTAATGCGGCTATCAGTTCTTGCAAGAAGGGTGGGCAGTGGCAGCGCGCATTAGTACTATTTCAGGCTATGCCCAAAGCAAAAGTGGCGACAAGCAGCATCAGCTTCAATGCTACCATCAGCGCTTGCGAGCAAGGTCGGCAGTGGCAGCAGGCGCTTTCCTTGTTTCACGACATGCCCGAAGCAAAGCACATTGCAGATTCTATTAGCTTTAACTCTGCCATTAGTGCTTGCGAGAAAGGTGGGCAGTGGCAGCACGCCCTGGCCTTGTTTCATGTCATGCCGGGGGCACAAGTGCAGGCCGACGTTGTCAGTTTCAGTGCGGCAATCAGCGCTTGCGAGAAGGGTGGGCAGTGGCAGTGGGCATTGGCACTTCTCCAGGCCATGCCTGAAGCAAAGGTTGCGGCGAGTGACATCAGCTTCAACGCGGGCATCAGCGCTTGTGAGAAATGCGGTCAGTGGCAGCAGGCGCTTTTCCTTTTCTACAACATGCCTGAGGCTAAGCTTATTGCGGATGATGTCAGCTTTAATTCCACCATTAGCGCTTGCGAGAAGGGTGGGCAGTGGCGGTTAGCGTTGGTACTCTTCCATGCCCTACCTGAATCAAAGTTGGAGGTGAGTGACGTTAGTTTCAACTCGACCATTAGTGCCTGCGCGAAGGGTGGGCAGTGGCAGCAGGCATTGGCCTTGTTCCAGATCATGCCAGTGGCAAAGGTGCGAGCCGATGTGATTAGCTTTAATGCTGCCATCAGCGCTTGCGACGAGGGTTGGCAGTGGCAGCGGGCATGGCTACTGTTCCACGCCACAACTCAGGCAAGGCTCACTGCGGATGTCACCGGCTTCAATTCAGCCATTAGCGCTTGTGAGATGGGTGGGCAGTGGCAGCAACTATCGTTCTTATTGTCCGGTTTGCAGGCAGCTTTGAAGCTGACTCCGAAGCGGACATGAGCTGTCAACTCGCACGAGCAGGCCGCTGGTTTTTGTATGGCTGTGGCTCAGACATAAGGCACCCCCGCAACCCGCAGTTTGTAGAAGCAACAACAGAATATGCCGTCCACTGGATCCTTTCTTTTTGGGTCACACCCATAAAAAACCTTCGAACCGGCTGAGCGCACATCAGCCGGCAGGTCTAGCTGTTAGACCCTCACAAGTCGGGATGGAATCCCCTAGGAGGCTTCTCTTCAAAGGATGGCTTTTGGGTTCCAGGTTCATTGAGCCCAACTGAGCTACTGTAGAGGTCTTGGCTTGTGTTCGGCCGTGGGGCTTACGAGCCTTGATGGAGGTGCCATTTAGCCACAGAGCTGACCAAAGTAAAGCTTTCTTCCCGGGTTTTTGCTTTTGTCTCCCGGCGAGGATTTTTTGTGTTACCAGTTTCCGCTCGAGGCGTTCTGGAGGCCTCCTGCAGTTCCCAAGAGTTGCTTCACTGTGCCCCTGCCAGCGCTCCAACGTGCCAACCCGACGGTCCGACGCGGCGATGTTGCGGGCTATCTGGTTGTCCAGGGAAAATTGCGGGCACAAACCCGTATATAAATGATGTCCCACCGAACGGTGATCAATTCAATCACATACCATGTCAATGTGCGGCCAGTGCTTCATTGTTTGTACCACGTATCTTTGGTCGTTCCTTTTGTCAAAGTTCAACCTCGTCCCCAATTGTTCATGCTCTAGGAGGTTTCATGCTGTCCAATGTTCAGTTGGTGGAATCATGTGGAATCACACCTAGAAGAAATCCTATACTCAAATGTTGATGGAACCCCGTCAGTGCTGGGAATTGAGAAAGGAGTAGGGGTTCCAACCTGTTCACATTCCGTTTGGCACTCGTTCTTCCGTTGGCTCGTGCCTAGGAGCAGCAGTCGCTCAGTTGCATTGGACTGCTCAGCTTTGCGTTTGCCATCGGGGCGGAGTGTTGTCTCGCGCACTTGGTGTGTGTGTGTGTGTGTGTGTTTTTGTTTTAGCGCGGATTTGACTGCGAGAGTGTGTGAGTATTGCATATGTATTTCGTGGGCCACTTGACGTTTGTCAAGTGCAGCAAAGCCACGTTGCCAGGGAGCCACACATCATCGAAGACGAAGCTAGGCGTGGGAAACGACAGCGCGACAACATGGGCTAGTGGTGGTTCAAAACAGACTTGATGCTTCATGCCTCAATTACAAAAGACTCCTCTCCTTGTCGCCTACTTCTCCAACCTCAGTTGAACTTTGAAGAACGGCTGGCTTGCTGCCTTTGCCAATCCAGCAGTGCAAAAAAAACAAAAGGAAGGTGCGGGATCTTGCATTTGTGTTGACTTGTATCGAAAAGTTCCAGGCATCAAATTGAGTTATGTTCTGAATGAGACACTGTTGAGGTTCGGCCTGCTGTAGGCGTGGTTTTGTAAGGTTATCGAGCCGAGGAAAACATGACTGGCCGCCCTTCCGGCCAGGACATCCACCTGCAACAGAAACACGGGAAGGTGTAAGGGTAGGATTGCACACTTGCCGTGCCCGTTGCGCAGATGAGTTCAAGAAAGATCATGTTTTGCCCACACTCGACTCGACGGCTTCACCTTTCAGGCGAGAGTCCTTTCTGATGCGATGTTTCACGGGCAAAGATGACCTCATCTCTCATGACTACCGGGCACATCCCATGACTTGTGCAATGCGAATTTGTGTCAGTCTGGTTGAGCATAGATAGATTCCACTGCTTTCTGATTGGTTCCGATAATTTACCAGCGTCACCCATATTTCCAAAAGGACACCTGTGGTTGTTAGTTTTAACGCCTTCTGCTCTTATAACTGGGCTCATCAAAGGGAATCCTTACTCCTTCCCTTGGGTTAAGCAGTCCCTATTTGGTTTCAACGGGAATCCGTCACTACCGGACATATGTTCTCATGTTTTCCAGGGGGCAAGAGATGGAAATGAAAGATCACCCAAGTTTCCTTCTGCCAGGCCAGCGGCGCTGTTGCCTCAGCCTCAGGCGCCTTCCGCGCCGCAGGCGCCTTCAGTGTCGGGACTTGGATCAAGCACTTGGGTGGGTTCTAAACAGGCTTAGGCTTGTGGATAGTCCCAAAGGGTTTCGTGTTTTTCAAATGCCCATGCGATTGAGTTAAGAGAGAAGAACAAGTCGAGTGCAAGCCGCATTGGTGCCATCTGAGATGAATCTGGGAATATTTCCAGGATACCCATGATAATAAGCTACCTAAGCGGTTTGAACATCCAAGCACGATGGTCCCACCCTCCCCAGCAGGTAGGTATTGGATTCGTCATGTGCTCGGTGTCTCACATGAAGCAAGCATTTGCCAGTCCCTCGGATGCAATCTGCGTATGTCAAAGCATCCAAGCCAAGACATATGGCATTGCCAGAGCACACGCAATTGCCATGCAGTGTATTTGTAATTAATGACAAGGGCTTGCGTCTAGCTCACCTGTGCCCCGAGCAAACAAACGCCTTCAGACTGAACTCAGCCGCGAGCGGCGCACCTGACTGGGTTTCGATATTGCATCCGGGTACTAGTAGTTCCCTGGTGTTTCGAGGCCGGCCCAACCAATGAAGGGTTTGGACAATGGGCAATGCCCAGCATGTTTTCAAAAGAGCATGCCCCCGGAAAGCGCCCATGAATGCCCGCAGTTGCCACAACGTAGCAGAAAGGCACACCGAAGCGCTAACAAGGGCGGCATTTCTTGGTTCATGCGTGGGCATCACAGGGTTGGTTGAGCAGCTGGGCAGTCGTTTGGTTTCATGTTGGGTTGCCTTTGACTGAGAGTCCCTAAAGAGGTTTGTCCGTTTGTCAACCCCCCATGGATGTATCTCAACCGCGGTACCCCAAAATAATGGTGTCCCTTCAGTTTTTTTTTAAAGTAACCCCTTCATGGTAGCATTAGCAAAAACATCCATGAACTGCAATGTGTACTTTTGCGTGACTCTCTTTAGGCATCAGCCGTGGGTTTATATTGTTGCGCCCATCCGTTTTGGTGTGTGGCCTGCTGCATTTGTCCAAGTACGTTGACCTTGTTTGTTTTGTTCAATGATCCTTGCAGCATAATTGGGATACACTGATTGACTTGACCATTGCAAGAATCGCAGGGTTCCATCGAGGTATTCAAGTGTTCATGACAATCCAGCGTCAACCAACTCGATGCGAGCTAGTACCATGCCACTGCCTAAAAGCATAATCATGGAATGGCCCTGCGTCGCGGGTTTCTTAGATTTCCAGGTGAGCCCACGCCATTTGCCAGGAAATCGAAGACAGCGACTCGGAGAGCAGCAGTAGCAGCAGCAGTAGCAGCAGCGTGGGCCCTAGTGATGGTAAACAACCAGACTGTGCTTCCCGCGCATGTTTGTTCTTTTCGCTCGAGTCGAAGGCTTTCAGGGATCCTGAAGTAAGGCAATCCAGTGTTGTTTGGGATCTTCCAATGTAAGAATCTTGAGCGCCGGGAGGGATAGCCACATCCGCTGAGGGAGTGTTTCCAACACCAGGCTGCTGTTGGCGATATCCAAGTCATGTGGGGTTGCACAAGATTCTGCGTGTTTCTACCCGTGGTACACTTACTCCCCCTGCAACAATGGAATTGGGCAGGGGGCTTTCCGCAAAGGAATGGTTTCGTTTTTCAAACAACCCTGTCAGCTTCCATGATTGGAGGGAAGGTACCATTTGAAAAAAGCATTGACATTTTTCCAAAGGATGTCCAGCATGACACCCAACATGGCTTCTGGCTATCTTTGACTCAGTCCTCTGGCGATCTTTCCGCTTGGTATCCCTAGTGTCACGTGCAACCAAAGCGAATCGACCGGATCTGGCCTTTGAGTTTCCCCGTTTTGGCAACCATGTGTAGTCCTTTTGTTTCTGGGTCCTTTGGGCAGTGGGTGATGTAGGCTGATCTTCATTGCAGATGAAGGCATATACCCATTTGTTTGGAGAATGCATCAGCTAAACTTTTATATTATTACAGAAGCAGTTAGATTCTGCGGAGAAGTGATGATGTACAGTTTCTTCTTTGCCGTCAATGTTTCAAGTAGAACGACATTATAACTTTAAGAGCTCCAACAATATGCATATGTTCCAATGGCCATTGGAGGTTTGGGCAACCATCTTGGTGGAAGCACATATATATGTACCAGTCCCTGGGCCACCCCCCCCCAATGGTATGGTCCCCCCACTCCCCCGCATCATCCGCATCTTGGGGATGATGCTGGCAATGCTGGGGATGCTGTCCAGTACCGTGTGAGCCCTGCAGCTTCGGTGAGCCAACACCCCGCACCTCTCGCAACATCCTACCCTAAACCAAACCACCCTGCAACCCCTCATTAACCCCAACCCTAAGCCTAAATCAACCCAAACCCCAAACCCACCCGAAACCCACCGCAAACCAACCCTGAACCAACCCTGAACCAACCCTAAACCAACCCACCAAGCCTAAACCCACCCAACCACCCAACCACCCCACCACCCCACCACCCCACCACCCCACCACCCCACCACCCCACCACCCCACCACCCCACCACCCCACCACCCCACCACCCCACCCCACCACAGGGGGGGGGGGGTTGGGGGGGGAGGGGGCTGGGGGTCCACGGCCTGGAACATATATATATATATATATATATCGCAATTCTATAAAAGCGCTGGTTTGGCATAGACTCTCAACGCAGGCAGCTCCTCGTTACCGAACTTCCTGCCCATGCTGCGGGGAACCCGGGTCTTTCGGTGGCTCAAGATTTGCTGCGGACAATCGGGGTACTGGACCAGGGATGATTTCAAGAGGGCGATCGTCTTACAAAATCCTCCTGTCCACTCTCATGATTGTTGGAAAGATGGCACTATTTGCGAGCTTGCCCCCAAACAACCAGGTCAGAGCAAGCAATTTGGTTCTGCTTGTTGGAGGGGCGGCTTGCCTCGCGTTTGTGAGTTTACGCCCCTCCCCCTTTTTGGGGGCACCTGAACACACCACGTGGAGTCTCCAGGGCCGTTGAAGCAGGCTGATTTAAAAAATATGCATGGGATGGAGACATCAGACCAACAGCTCAGGATGTTAGGCATTTGAAGCTTTGTTGAGTTTGCCCCGTAGCTCAAAAGAACACATCAAGCAGGCCGTATCCTTTGCTTTTCTTTCACCCGCCCACAGATATGACGGGCGCGTACTGGCTCTGGCGGTGTACCTCGGCGTGAAGAAAAGGGGAGTTGATCAAAGCGTCCGTAATGCATGGGATGACCATTTCTGAGAGCCACTAAACATGAGTTTTCACATTGGAAAAGCTACCCCATGGCCCCCGAAAGGGAATATTGATCAACCTCTGATATGCCAAAAATTCAACGGGCTGCCAATCTAATGTACAGTGGATATGCGTATCATTGCTTTGATTGCTTTGATTGGCGGGGAGCATTTGCTTGTGGACCAGGCCGCTTAGTGGAGGGCCACTATGGAAACATGATCAACCAGATCAGTCGACGAACACCTTGTGGCGTTACGTGGCTGGGCGAGACAGTCCTAAGTAAGAATGATTGTGTTTTTCTGCGACTGCAAGCTGATTCATGCAGGGGAACATTGCATCGCGGAACGAGGCGGGAGATGGTTCCCTCGACACCCTACGGTTGTGTGAAAGTAGATGGTGCTAATCGTATCCCTCATTAACAATGTGCCACACATTTTGTCGTGAGGTGCCATTTGCAACCACAGGGTAAATGGGTATGTCTTTTTTGAGGGTAAACTAAGGCACCATGTTGGGGGTCAGCCAAAGGCGCGGGTGCCAAAGAAAGGCGCCCAAATGGCTTGTGACCATGTGACCAGGTGTTTCCTGGGCCGCCTCGAACAAACCCACTGCGATTCGCATTTTTTTGCCGAGGTCGGCGAGGGGCCCGGGTTCGCTGGACTGCGGGTTGCTGTTGACGGGGGGTTGCGCGTCAAAAGGAAGCAGTCCAGGGGCCGAAGAGTATTTCCCCTGAGCTTCCACAGATGGACTTCCCTCCCTGTTGGCGTGAGTTTCCTTTCGTAGGGGTGATGTGTTGGTGAAGGGAATATGGGGAACCCTGACAGTTTCAGAAAGGGATAAACGTACCAGCCACTTTTTAAGAGCCCTTGGCTTTGATTTGTACAATAAGCACACCGAGGAATTCAATTCAAGGGTGTTCAGTTTAGTGGCGAGATGGTTTCGCCCAAAGCTACCCAGCGGGCCACTTTTCACAAGGCAGCGGTCGGTGCTCCGCGTTGTGGTTTTGGGCTACGTTTTTATGAGGCACCACAAAGATGGCTGGTGGACATGAATCCCCGCCTAAATGACGCCCACCTAAATAATTCACCCCCATCAGCTCTGCACGGAGTCGACCGGCAGGAGGGAGTGGCAGAGCCTCCGACAGCCCAGGCGCGGAAAGGTTTACGAGGTGAGGTGTAGGAGTGACAAGCCGGGGGCAACAGTTACGTCCTTCTCATCAAGATGTGTGAAAACGAGCTGTTCCTCCAATTGTCGTTGACACCTCAGTCAAAAAGGGCTAAAAACTTAGACCGGTCCGACTCTCAGCCGGGGCAGGAAGGAGACGCTGTTTGCCTTCCCCCCAAAGATTCCTCGTGTGTGTTTTTTGGGGTTCGCCCACGCCTTGGGCGGAGCGCCTTCTGCTGACCAGCCCATTCCTTGTGAATCGGGAGTTCAACCTCGAGACCGCTGTGCACAGGCCGCCTCACCGGCATCGCCAGAGGCGCCAGTGCACATCTCGGAGGGGGATTTAAGACGGCGTCCGCTACCCCCAAGCCTCAGGACAAAAGTGGTGTAGAGAACTTGCTATGCAATATGAAGCCTGCGGGGAGAAAGTGGTTATGCGATATGAAACCATTTCGAAAGGGAGTAGTTTCGGGGAAAGTGGAGATGAGAGGCTCTTCCGGATGTTTGGCAAGCCACTAGGCTGAAATCCGAAATCCGAAGGCTCTCTGGAAAGCAAGCGGCGAGTGGAATACCGCTCCATTTGGTGCCAATGGCAGATGACTGATTTGTTCGAAGCCCTTCATGTTTACGAAAGGATTTGGTTCTTTTGCCAGCGATTTGCCAAAAGGGATTGCGGACTGGGATTGGTCAACCCTCCATGTTGAACAGCACACTGAGTTGTTGTTGGTGTCAGTTCTTTCCAGTGCAAATAGGGATATGTTTCTTTTCTTTCTTGGGTACCCTTTGGTGGAGCAACGACTTCGGAGGTGGCTCCCGATGAAAATGTCATTGGCATATGAAGAAGCACCTTGGATTTGAGGTCCTGCTTCGTTGTGGTTACATCGGTAGCACCTGTAGACATCCCGCACGTGGAGCTGCCATTGTTTAGATGACGTACGTTTCAACCGCTTACTGGGCTCAGGGACTCATGATCTGTGGAGGTATGATGCAAAGGCAGATTCCAGGATCATGTGCAAGGTCAAGATGAAGCTTTTGTTCCTCGATGCTTTCAGAGACCAACCATAGATCTTAATGCCGACCTCATATTAAGCAATCCAGTTTATTAATTGGGTGTTCCCCTCCAAAAGTGGTCAGATTCCCCACAAACCCAGAAATGGACACCCCCCATGAAATAGACGTTGATTAGTATGGGGTCAACACTGCATTGCTCCTGAGCTGAAGATGTAACAAGCCGCCGGTTCCACCGCAGCCTCCGGCTTTCAGGCAATGGAACCAAAATTCGACGTGGAAGCCACGAACTGCCATTGCATTCCTCGCGCTTGCGCGCAGCTTTAGGATGAGGAACGACAAACCTTCAACTTCGAAAAATGGATGGCGCTCCTTGGACTCCTTGGAAGCCACTCAAATTGTCACAGACTCTAGCGGATTCCAACCCCCTCCTTCCTATTTTCGCTGGGGTTTTTGTGCCCAATCGCGAGAATTCGCATCTCAAGAGCCATGGCTTTGCTGTCGCTGCTCGCGCTGCTGCCTTCGGGCGCTGCTGCCTGGGGCGAGCGGGTGGAGGCCAAGGTCTGGCGCCCCTCAGCGGAGAACTTTGTGTTTCCGGAGCTGGAGGCGGGGGGCTTTGGGGGCGTTTTGGTGTCCTTTTTGGTGGGTTGGCTGAGAAAAAATCGAGGGCGGTTCCTGGTTTACCTGGTGGTTCAATCATCTACCAGACCCTCTATTTTCCGAAAAGGACACCTATGGTTGGGGGGTGGTCTGGTGCTTTGGGGGTTCACCCTGGAGACTTTCTCAAGGTGGCAACAATGACTTATGACTTCTGACCGCCTTGTGGTTGTAGCTGTTTTCTAATCGGGAAACGAAAAGGAATCCCTTGGCATTGTGTGGAAACCCACTTTTTTTTCTTTGGAGGGGGTCCTCTGAAAAAAGACGCACAGAATTCGCCCTCTGCTTTTTTTGGGGGGTTCCTTTGCCGGAGGTCCCACATGGGGGATTTGAGCAACCTATGTCATGGATTTGGGGGGTTGTCTTTTCCCTGGGTCCAATTCGATCCCTCAATTCGAGGTCTCTGCCCAGATAGGCTCGTTTGGGGTGGTTTGGGGCAGCTTTCAGGAGGGTGCGCGGCTGGTGGGATTTCGCCTGGGTTTATTTGATACCCTTTTTGGGGTTAAGCTGAAAGCACACCATTTGGGGCGTGTCCCCTATTTGGAGGGTTTCTAAAAATTGCTTGGGGGGGAGGTTTCGCTTCAAAGCAAGCCTTGAGAGTAATTTTGAGGATATCACTTTCGTGGACTCGGTTCCATATTCCCTTTGGTGGACTCCAAGCCTTGCCCTTGATCAAAGCTTGGGCGCACCCACAAGCTGGGGTCCCCAAATGGAGATGTGGGTGTGTTTTTTGTGCGAGGCTACCCCCCAAAGCGAAACCAAAAAGGAGTTTCCTCCGCCCCTTTTCCCCGCAAACGACACATGTCCCTAGCTGTACTTCCGTGGAAAAGCTGAATAGGGCCCCCTTCAGCTGTCAGGAGGGGGATCCGGGGCTAGAGTCGATTTTGCAATTGACCCAATCGAATACTCGCCCAAAGAAGGTGGTTGCAAAATAACATATATCTCTACGTGTCCATCATACCCCCTAACACTCCCCAAGTGCCTTGATTGTTGGAAAGAAAATATAGCTCGTTTCGGAAGAATCGGAATTTCACCCATCAACCCAGGACCAACCCGCCATCAGCAGGTCGGTACCAATTGCCTTGTTTTGGACAAGAACACCCGTGGATCCCACAGTAAATGGCACTGATTGAAGGGGAACTCCGGTGACTTGCTGAAAGAAGGTGGTTGCAAAAATAGACCTATATGTGGCTATGCCGCTTTTTGGTTGGCTCCCTTTAACACCACCCAAGATGAGTCACCAGCCATGTTCAACCATTTTATAGAACCTTCCAGCCGCCTTCTCCACACACCGGGCATTTTTCCCGGGTTTGAACCACAGCAGGCATTTTCGGGGTGTCCATGCCCGGATTTGTTGCCCGAGTCCATGCCCGGATTTGTGGCTCGGCCGGAAGAGGAGACCGGGCTCGTGGACTTCCTGGCGGGCAAGGACTTCGGGGTGGCCTTGGCCGGGGGCGGCATGCGGGGCCTGGCGCTGGGGCAGGGCACTCTGCGGGTGCTCCGCGAGGTGGGCGGGAGGTATGCGCGCGGGAGGTGTGCGGGAGGTATGCGGGTTGAGGGCTTCTCATGTGGCTGTGGTGGTCAAAACTGGGGTAGGTGCACCACCCATTTTAGTTTATTTTAGTGGGGATTGGGTTGTTCACTGGGGGTACGATTTGGCTTTGCCCATGGGTCACGAGAAAGGTTCCTGTATTTGGGAGTAACAGGCATGGTCATCCAGCTAGGGATCCTGAAGAACCAGTAGCTGGTTCTTCGTGCGACGGTCGAACGACCCCTTGATTCAATAGGCAGGGAATGAGAAATGGAATGACCTCACCCTATGGAAGGGAATCTGGCTTGAAGTGAACCTCCCGGATGGCCTTTCGGGAAGCATTTTCCCAATGCGGGAGAGATTTGGAGTTTCAAGCATCACCGTTTTGGCATTCAGCTGTTCCTTTGAGTTTTCAAGGGGATATACCCTCCAGTCGACCATCAAACCTGACGTTTCGGGGCTCGGGACGACGACTTTTCCTGAGTCGGACGCTCTGGAAGTGGATCTTGGAGTGCTCTTCATCCACAGGAACCCTGGGACCCACCTTGCCAGGTCGGCCTGCTTGAGAAGGCCAAGTACCTCAGCGTTACCTCAGGAGGGGAGGGACGGGCCGAAGGAAAAGTCCTTATGATTTCCTGGACTTGGAACCTTTTTGGAAAGGCATTTTTTACTTGGTGGCTCCCAGCCATTCGGTCCCTTAGCCTTTGAGATTAGTGTTTAGTGGTAGTTTCCATTTAACCCACAAGTGAGTCACTTTTAGGCTGGTGATCCGAACACGGGCCCAGTTGGTACATAAAAAGTGACTTTTTTGAATCCACTTCAGTGAGCCCTTGTACTGGAAGGAATGCCCAACTTGTCCCAAATGGCTATGGGTCAAAACCGTGTTGGTCCCATGGGGCTGGTGAATTCACCACCCATTTTAGGCTTCCTAGTTTAGTGGTTGGATTGAATCGGATGTTCACTGGGGGTACGATTTGGCTTTTGACCCATGGCCAAATTACGCGGGCAAGCCGACCCGTTCTGAGACAACAGAAATCAGACCTGGGCAGTTGGAGGCATTCATGGGTCTTCCCAGCCATAAATTAAAGCAGTCCTTTCTTTCTCTCTCTCTCTCTCTCTTTGTTTCTTTCTTTCTTTCTTTCTTTCTTTCTTTCTTTCTTTCTTTCTTTCTTCTTTCTTTCTTTCTTTCTTTCTTTCTTTCTTTCTTTCTTCTTTCTTTCTTTCTTTCTTTCTGTCTTTCTTTCTTTATTTCTGTCTTTCTTTCTTTCTTTCTTTCTTTCTTTCTTTCCATTTCTTTGTCCGCAAAACCTGGTTGATCCTAGCAGTCATATGCTTGTTTCAAAGATCAAGGCTGACGCAATTCACTGTAGCCCAGCCCACGCTAAGTTCTAAAGGCCCCAATTCCTGATAGACTATTTTGGATACATCCCCCCCAACGGAGTGCTGCTTCGGACTCTTGCTTATTGCCACGCGGCCAAGAGAACACAGCTTCAAGCCAGCAAAGACAACAAGACACGAGCTACAAGCCAGCAAAGACAACAAGACACGAGCAGGCAGAAGCTACAAAGTCGGCGTTGTACAACAAGGGTAAGTCGTACCATCCTTCCTTGAGGTGGCTTGAGCAACCGTTGGAAGCCAGGCCAGCACGCGTTGCAGTGGGATCTGGATGAGAGGCAGTGCTGTTTTTTAGATAGGCCTTGCAGGTAGCTGGAAGCGCGTACTTGGGGTGTACCAAATTTCGGGGTTCGCAGAGTCTGTTCCAGATTCGAAGGCTCAGTGTGGCTGGGCCTGCCGCTGTATTACCAGACCCTGGACAGCCTGGACACTTACTTGGGCAAGACGCTGCAGCCAGAGGAGCGAACGGACTGGAGCAGCAGGGTTTCCTGCAACCGTCTACAGCAGCTGACGCACACACAAACGGGGTTGTCTCTCTAGGAGCAGCCCTAAAATCTGTGCTTCTGTTTAGTGTTCCGTTCCAGGAAAACTTCGCTCAAACCAAAACAACATGGGAGAGCGCAACCGCAAACCGCTTGCGTTTTTTCCCCCCGGCCTACTTCTCCGAAGCGGCCTTCGGAGCCAGCGCAGCGCCTGGTTCTCGGGTTTTGCCCCGATGCCAACCGAGAAGTGCACAGGCAAACATCCGTCGATCGCAAGGAAGCGGATGATTTGTGGCGTCGGAACAAACCCCCAACTCTTCAAGCCTCGAGGACGGCCACGGCAATCATTTCCATGTTGGTCAAACAGGTACTGGAAGGTTCTGAGAAAGAGAGAGAGAGGAAACATAGAGGACCCGACATGTTCCAGAAAAAAATCATATCAATTGTGCTTGGCACTCTGTAGAGGATCGCTCCGAGCCAAGGATCAAAACAGTGTGGAGGAATGGTTCGGCTTCCTTTCGTCCTTTTGACTGTTATTGGGGGTCAAAGTCAGAAACTGGCGAGTGGTTTCGCTTGAACCTACTATTGGGTGGTGACTTTGTGAAAGGCAAAATCATTTGGCCCTTCCGAATTGGTGTAATCATTTGGTCCATCACAAGGTGTCAATCATTTGGCCAGAATTTGGTTGCCCTTCCGATCGCGTCCTAAAGGAGCCACCGAGTTTTTTTCGTCCTAAAGGTGTCAATCGGGCACTTGTTTTTTTTTGTTTTTCCCTGTGGAGTGCGCAGGAAATGCTCCCCGAAGCACTGCTGGCTGAGACCGGCACTGCCATCTCTCGCTTGCTGTACCTCCAAGAGTACCCCAAGGGCCATGGGCCGAAGGAGAGACGCGGCCTTTTGCTCGGGTATCCTCCAACATTATGTTGGATTTTAGGGCTGACTTAAAAAGAACAAATGAATATGTTGGATGAAGCTTGGGACGCACACGAAGCCACCAACAGAATCAAGATGAAGCATGTCTTCAACTATAAATATGCGTTGTTATTCTGGAACCGGACCGACTCGCAAAATGAAGCAAGGCAAGCTTTGAACCGCGATCGATTTGCTGAATGATTCATTCGATACCCCGTTGATCTACGGATGCAGTGTTTGACGTGTTTTTGTTGCAGATCCCTGCGAGGAGAGGAGGCTGAGCAACCAGAGCCGCAGTTTCTTCGACTGCCCCGCGGATGACGCTCGCCTCTCACTGGCTGGAACCCCGTGTGCCACCAAGCGTGGCACCCAATGTGACTTTTTGAGGACACCAGGCTGCCCAGGTCATTTCGGAGTGAAGGCGACGCTGGACGGCCGCATGTTTTCAGCAAAGTCACCAGCGGGAAGCCAGGAATTCCACTGAGCACGTGAGGTTCGGCCAACAAATCCTCTAGTCTATGAGAAATTTGGGTGTGTCTTCTTTTAGGGAACCCCCTTTGGGGTTTGTTTTGAAGGAACACCCAAAGCTTAGGGTAACCTGAAAAAAGACAGTCCATTTGGGAGGGTTCTGGGACAAGCAAATTTGAGAACCCGGGAACTGAATCAATAAAGTCTTGGGGGGAACAAGTCATGTTGACCGTGGCAGCCACCACATCACACCACAAGTTTTTGCGACCCTTGTGTAGTTGTGAGGTGGGCGGCTGCAACCAACCAACCAACCAACCAACCAACCAACCAACCAACCAACCAACCAACCAACCAACCAACCAACCAACCAACCCACCAACCAACCAACCCACCAACCCACCAACCCACCAACCCCACCAACCCACCAACCCACCAACCCACCAACCCACCAACCCACCAACCCAAACCAACCAACCCAACCAAACCAACCAACCAACCAACCAACCAACCAACCAACCAACCAACCAACCAACCAACCAACCAACCAACCAACCAACCAACCAACCAACCAACCAACCACCCTTGTAGTGTTGCAGGTTGGTCTTTGGGCTCCCTGTGGTAATCACCAGAACTGGGCTGGGATGACTCAATGACTGGCCTTGATCCGCCGAGCCGCCTCTCCACAATAAGTCTTCAGGGGACAGCCCCAACCTGCCTCAGAGAAGAACTTGAGCTCGGGGGCCTCAGAACACGTCGGAACCTGCATCTGACATCTCAGGAAGGCTGGTGCGCGTGCATGGTGGAGCGCTTCCAACCGGGCAGTGCCTACAGCCTCTATCCCCTCTTCATAGCCTACATCTTTCTGCAGCCCAGCAGTCGCCACAAGATTCACCATTTGTCTTAGCTCATTCAGATCTTCACTTTGGGATCAGAAGAGAAAACACACGAATTTGTGGTCTGCTAAATCGTCGTCCGTTTGATTCTACTCGGATTTGTCCAAGGGGATCACTTTTTCAGTTGAGTTTTGGTGACTCTTCCAGTTTCCAAAGAGAACTCCGGGGGTGTCTGTGTTGCAAGGCATCCCTTCGAGCTGGCTGGGCATGGATCTACCCACTGCCACGCTGCTCGGACACAGTTCTGGCTGCGGTTCGTGAAGGTGTGTCTTTTCTTGCGGTACCCCCTCTTGTTGCGATTTTCAAGGGAAGCCAAAAGAAACGGTTTCACAATTTTGAAGGGTTAAATAAAAAAAAAAAAAACAGGCACACCCAGCCTTCAAGTGTGGGTTGTCTCCCAATGGGCTTTGAGGCCACTTTCAACGTGACACGGAGGAAGCGAGTCTTTAGAGGTAGGGATGAGAAATCCCACTTCGCAGAAAGGGCTGCTTCTCAGAAGGCATGGTGAAGGGCTCTTTTTTGGGTGCGGCCCCACAAGTCGCTTTTCTTGCGGTTTCCCTTCTTACACCATGTAGGTGCATGGTTGAGCTGGGACCACCTGCAATTTTGATTGACAAACATTTGTTGGTAAGTGGAAACATGGACCACAACCCGCGTAACCCCTCCTCTTTAATTTTGAGCCACAGCCATATTTTGATTGACAAACATTTGGCCGGCAAATGATTATTTGTGCACCATGAGACTCAAGGAAACCCAGCTGGACCGCTTGAAGGCTAAGCTGGGCAGTTCCAGGACCATCTACACTGCCAAGGCGACGGGCGTAAGAGTTGAAAGGAAACCGGAAAGCCAACCCATTGGTAGGGCTAATACAAGGGATTAGAAAATTACAAATTTATACTGGGGTGCTTGTCAGACAAAAGAAGTTCTGACCATGGCGGTGAACTACGTAGTGGCAGCGCCTTATGTCATCCCCAGATCAAGAAGCACCTATTCTGATTTCTTCAATGCCGAGTGTTCACCTGCTGAGAGGTTTGCTTGTGCCTGATATGCCCGAGCAGGAGGTTCGCGCAGGAATCGCAAACACGGCTGGTTTCCCTTAATGTTCCTCAACATCTAATTCTCTTGGCTATAATCTGTCTCCAGGATATCCTTCCAATTGAGGACTAAGAATGGAGGATGATGAGGAAGGAATCTCAACTTTTCACCAACATTCATTTCCTTTATTATCCTGTTACCTTCATTCTAATCCAATATTATCTATTATCTCATCCCTCGAACCCTGTCCAACACGGGTCCCAATTTGGCAGAGACTGTAAGTCTTTCTAAGGATGCAAAGGCTCACGGGTTCTGGGAGGTTTCAAAATGCTCCCCAAAATAGGCGGTTCCCTCTGAGTTCCCTTTACAACCACTCACAATGAAGGTACCCCAACTTGAACCTAGCACTAACAACCAATTTCCTTTTCAAGTGACCGCATGCTGCAGACTCCCCAAAAACGGGGCACATCCATGAATCGTTCTGACCCAAAGGTACTCTTCACCTCAGATATCCTCAGACTTACGAAAGGACCCTTGTTGAAGTCCTTGGGCAATGGTTTTGACCACCTCGGCTCGGGCAATGAGGGAATGCCCATGAATCATCCCCCAGTTTTTCAAGGATCCCCAGGTTCACTGCCAACCCTGGGACGAGAGCCAGCAATCATGATTCCTTGCCATTTCCATGAATCACCATGGGATGCGATAGGACCAGTCGCAGAAGCTGCCCTTCCTCCTCTCCCAGTCAGCGGTGCTTGCCCCGTACAGCGGCCTCGAGCCCAAGGCCGGGCCCCATGTTTTCAACTCCAAAACGTTTTTGTTGCCTACATGTTGCTCGCTTGTGGGCCAATCAGATTGGCGGTTGAAATGACGCCCCGGGTAGCAGTGTCTCAAAACAGGCAACCCTCCCTGTTGTGATACTAAAGGGAGGTGGATAGAGACTTTCTTGAAAGGAGGGGCCAACATGATGCAAGGGCGGCAAAATGGCCCGTATGTCTGACAACCTCCCACATCAGGATGTTTGCTCTTTGATCCGGGATTTGTTTGCTGCCTCAAGGGGGCGGCTACTTGAGAAATTGGGAGAAATTTGTCCCACTCACAGAGTACACAGGCATTCTGCCTAGTTCTATCATGTTCTATCCAATCATATCCAATCCAAATTATCATTGGGATGATCCAACCCTCGGCAGATTCCCGGTCATCTCGGCAAGCCTAGCTGTTGACATGCCCCGAGGCATTCCATGTCCAATTCCGAGTTGCCGGCTCGATGCGTGAAGTTCAACTTGGCACGGTCCCAATTGCGCATCATGGAGCAACGGCTGCCGCTTTCAGCGACCGTCGAGCGCTTTGCATCTGGCCCCTTACATTCAAGAAGCCGCCCGCGTCAATTTGCGGCCCCTTCCTGCGAGCCTCGAATTCCATCTCCGGTTTCGGTGCGGTTCCGGGCACTTGTTGCAGCGGTGTATGTCAGGAGTTGTTACAGACATGCTGCCAAGAGAGGAGACCTGGTGCCGGACCTGTCGGAGCTTGGCAATCTGGGCATGCACCCATCAATGGCAGCAGTACGGGCTCTCTTCGGCGCGATTGAATGGCAGACGGTGCCTGTGAGACGTATTTTGGCCATTCTGGCGGAAAGAAGGCGGGCGGATGCTTTCCTTGGAATGTTTCAAGCGCTTATGGACAAGCAAGTGCCTTTGGACGCCAGAGACTTTACTTTGGCCATGTCCAGCTGCACCAGGCAGACGCTGTGGCAAGATGCTTGCCGGCTCTTCGGGGCCATGCCAGAAGCGCAGGTGAAAGCCAATGAGTTCAGTTTCGGCGCGAGCATCAGCGCTTGCGAGAAGGGAGGCCGTTGGCAGCAGGCCTTGGTTTTGTTTGGCGACATGCCTGGGGCAGCAGTGCAAGCGAACATTTACAGTTTTAGTGCCGCCATCAGCGCTTGCGAGAAGTGCGGAGAGTGGCAAAACGCATTTGCCCTGTTTCAAGCCATGCCGGCAGCAAAAGTGGAAGCTGATGTGATCAGCGTTAACGCGACCATCAGTGCTTGTGAGAAGGGTGGGGAGTGGCAACAGGCATTGGCCTTGTTTTGGGCCATGCCCATGGCAAAAATGCAGCCAAGCGAGATAAGCTTCAATGCAACTATAAGTGGTTGCGAGAAGGCTGGGCAGTGGCAGCGAGCGTTGGCCCTTTTTGAGTGTATTTCCGCCAGGAGCATGCAAGCAAATGAAAAAAGCTTTAGTGCAACCATCAGTGCCTGCGAGAAAGGTGGGCAGTGGCAGCGTGCATTGGCCTTGTTTTGGGCCATGCCTGAAGCAAGCACGCAAGCAAACGAGATCAGCTTCAATGCAACCATCAGTGCTTGTGAGAAGGGTGGCCAGTGGCAGCGGGCGTTGGTTTTGTTTCAGGCTATAGCAGAAGCAAACATACGAGCCAATCAGCGAAGCTTCAATACAACCATCAGCGCTTGCGAGAAGGGCCAGCAATGGCAACAAGCATTGGCTTTGTTTAAAGACATGTTCAAATCGGCAACGCAAGCAGATAACATTAGCTTCAGTGCGACTATCAGTGCGTGTGAGAAAGGCGGGCAGTGGCAGCAGGCATTGGCCTTGTTTTGGGCCATGCCTGAATCAAGCTTGCTAGCTAATGAGATCAGCTTCAACGCAGCCATCAGTGCTTGCGAAAAGGGTGGGCAGTGGCAGCGAGCGTTGGCCCTATTCCAAGCTATGACTGAAGCCAGTGCCCGGGCAAATGAAATATCCTTTGGTGCCACCATCAGTGCGTGCGAGAAAGGCGGGCAGTGGCAATATGCGACGGGGCTTGTTTGGGCCATGCTTTACGCTCGAGTGCAACGAAATATTTACTGCTTCAGTGGAGGACTCAGCGCATGCGAGACCAGCGGGCAGTGGCAGCAGGCATTGTCCCTCTTCCGAGCAATGCCTGCAGCACGCGTGCAGCCCGATGTGATCAGCTTCAACGCAAGCATCAGCTCCTCTGAGAGAGGAGGTCAGTACAGCTCTTGGGCTTGGCCATGTGAGCAGAGATGCCACTTGGTTTGAGCTTTTTGGCTTTGGCCGATAGCTTCCAGCAGGCGAAGGCTGATTCCCTGCGTGGTAAGTCACCTATACGGAGTAATTAGCTGCAAAAGGAAACTCAACAATGTTGTTTTATGGGAAAGCCGTCAATAACCAGGGCCAACCGGCTGAACTTTTTGATATTCCACGATGGTTGAACATGGGGAATCAACCCGTAGAATTCTAGAGAATCAACCGAAGTTTGGCCTGAACTATGGCCCAAGCCAACGGGCGATGCAGGGTGGCCTTTGGAAACTACTTGTGCACGCCCAAGTTCTCATGAGAGGTGGGCCGTGCGTGTCATCGCAGAATTCGAGTCCTGGTGAAACCTTCGACTCGCACAGTAAAATTGTGCGAAGCCATGTGTTCTTCCGGGTCTTCAAATTTGGGAGCTTGATTGGAACAATATATATATATATATTTATTTTAAGAAATATATGTTCTTTTTGTGTGGTTTTTGTTTTATCTATCGACTCTTTCTTGTTGTGGATCAACTTGGCGCAGAATCAGGACTTTGAGGCATGATGTGAGCATCCAACACCCGCCCCCGCCCCCGGCAGTTTTAGGGCTGGAAAGATGCAATCGCTCCACTTGTGTCAGCATTGCTATGGTCATTCGTTTGGGCGTCGACTTGTGCAAGACTTGTGCTGAACCCAATGGTCCCTTCAGAGCGCGTGAAAAGACGACCTTTGTGGCGCTAAATGACCAGACCTGGCAGGCGTCCCTATGTTCCCCTTTGTGGCTGCATAAAGAATATCACCTTTGTTGGGCCCCTGTAAGGTGAGAATCCTTAGGGGGTGATGTTTAAAAGGCGAAATGTAGGCAGGGACCCCTGCTTCATCGATTTGTGCGTCGGGCTTTTTGTTCCTGATGCCGGAAACCTGGCGAAAACTACGCGGGGGGATGGTGCTCAACATCCACGTGAAACAAAGTCGTAGGCAACTATGTATAGAGGTAGGCAAGTGAGTTTGTACGGGGTGTCCCAAATGAAGACTCTTTCCTTGGAACCCCTCCAGATGGTAGGGTTGCTTTTTGTCCTGTCATCCATCCAAAAGGGTATCTTCAAACAAGATGCCCTGCCAGCACTGGACTCAACAAGGCATAACCCTCCAAACAAAAAGCCCCGGTGGCATGCCCAGCCCAACACCGCGTGGAACCCGACAACGCCCATGCTCTAAACCCTAGAGCCTGTCTGGGTGTGTCTTTTCTTTTGAGACGTTTGTCCTTTTTGAGTTTCCTTTTAAAAGTCAAACGACAAACACGGGTACGGAGCCTCGAAACGAGCCGCGGCACCCAGCCGCCTATCAACCCCCTGAACGCTTGCAGCTGAGAGCTGCGACTGAGGACCCTTTGGAGTTCTTTCCCCTGGAGCAAACTCCGCTGTACATGGGCACCGTGCCAACATCTCACAGCCCCGTGGCAATGATCGACACGGGCGGGGCCTATTCTTGTGTTTGGATCTTTGGTTTTGGTTATATTAATTGTACGTATTATATATTACATATATACATATATGTATTGTGGGATGTGGTGCTTGTATCGTTGTTGTTTTTTTCCTGTTTGTTGTGCTCGGCACATGCTGGGTTGATCTAGTCTTTGACCCTCTTTGGGTCCACCCCCGTTGAAAGGCGGCACCAGATGAAGAGTCTCGGCACTTTCAATCCTTGTCAGATCTTTTTGGCAAGCCGCGACGGATCAAAAGAGGGAGGTCGGCCCGGGCGGCGTTTAAGAATGCCGATGCACCAGTCAGTGCTTCAAAAACATGCCCCAGGCGCTGACGGATACAGGCCCACGTCAGGTTGAGGGCCCGGAAGAACCCATGCAGTTGAAGCTTCAACCGTGAATGCGGTATTCGGTATTCGCCATTTCTTTTTGATTAGGGAAGGCACTTTTCGCAAAGACTGTCCAGATCCTGCTCAGGAACAGCCTCATGAATCTACCCGGCTTGCCCCATTCCTATCATCTTTTGCTCTTTGGTCCTCGGCCGGAGAATCACATTGGTGGAACATGGAAAATGCAAGGTGCGGACTTGGCTCGCGAGTTGCAACAATTGGACACAGAGAACCCCCAATGACGGGCGCGCACTTAAAATGAGGCAGCGCCGGCATGCATGCGGTGGGGGACGTCTTGGTGGAGCCTTTTGCGTGGGATTCCACGATTCGGAGTCCCTGGCAGAACCAAAGCGGTCAGGAGCAGTCGAGCCCTGGATGGCAAGAATGTTTTTGTTTGGAGATGTGGGTCCTGGGAGACTTGCTTGGGTGACTTGGGTTGTTTGCCCGGGCGACTTGGGTTTTGGAAGTCTGAACGATATGTGGCATTATGTTAATGATTATTTTAATATACATGTGGGTAAGTGTTGCGACAGGCTTCAGCTTCCCCCAGGGAGCTTGCAGAAGCTGGAAGCAGCATCAATCAACACCGCATGTACTGTTGTTCCCTGATTGCCACTGGTAAATCAAGGATGTGGAACCCCAAAAACGTAGCTTCAATCCTCGACCACATCGTAGAGGCGGAGCCTTACCATCTTTGAACCAGACACAAGTGAGCCGCCGGGGTTGTATCCGGAGTTCACTGTGGTTTCTTGCATAGAATTGGGCTTGTCTCAAAATAGGGACAGCCTACAAATGGTGAGTTTTCCTTTGGATGTTCCTTTGAACAGTCCCAAGCAACCTTGAACAAGTAAGGCAAACAAAATGAAACCATCGCACACAGCACACCGGGAATGGCGAGCATGTGAAACAGGCAACGTGGGCACCTGCCTGTGGCGTGAACACGTGAGCAACGATCTCGAGCAAGTGCTTTGATCCTCGTGCATAATTCTCTGGATGGCCCTTTGGCAGGTATTCGGCTCCTTAGTTCTAAATGGACTTTGAGAATGCTATTTTGGTGGTAAACACTAAAACAGTGGACATCTTTGGGGCCATCCACTCAGGAAGGAAGGCTCTGCTGTTGCCAAGGAGAGACATTGGAGCCCCCCAGCCAGCCCGAAAGTTTCTTCCCAAACTTGGCTCAGGTTCTTAGAACCCTTCCAGGGCGTTTTAGTTCTTCCACGCATGTCTGATGATTGCTCCGGTAAGTGGCAGGCAACCAAACGAGCCAATTTTCTAGCGACCTGCAAGCAGTGGTATCAGTACAACCCAGTTTACTTTACTTTGAAACATTGAGCATGTGGTGAAGCTGGCTTTACCCCTGTGTTTTGCCTGGGTTCGGTAAACACCCTGAAAGCAAAGGGCCCATCCAAAGCGAGCACCGTAGTACGTGATGCCGTTTGGCGGCTTTCACTTCCAGTGGATTGACTGACCTGTTTGTCTTTGATCCGTTTTGAGTTTCCTTCATTGTCCAATTCAGCCCCCGCAAGAAGGCAACTTGTTGGGATCTAAGAATCTAAGTCTGCAGGCCCAAGTTTTACAGGTTCCTTTGAACCAGACCTCCTCCTTTAATTCATTGCTCACCTTTTTTGGGGGCGTGGGGTGCTACTTTTTTACGGCCAGGTGGTTTTACATCTCTGTTGACACCGGGGGTGGTTTGGGGTGGGGTGGGATGGATCCGAGACTTTCGAGGATCGAGGTGTCCAGAGCTCTGCTCAACGTGGGGGACTTGGCGCTGTGGGCCGGAACGGCCACCGCCTACATCGCGGACTTCCAGGTGCGCCCCTGGGCGGACAAGCCGCTCGGAACGCACCGAGCTCCGGTCGTCGGTCCCTTGTCGGAGGTACGGGTTTCCCAGCGGTTTAACGTGGAAGTTGACGTTCGGGACCCGGGCCCTTGAAACAAACATGTTTTTTAGGACTCCGAAACGTTAGGTGTCATACTAGTTGGTGGGAGGGTGATACTGGAGAGATCAGGTGTCAGATGTGTTTTAGCATTAATTTTAGTAACTGAGTGAAGCAATCGACGACATCTACAACGATATAGCTCCAAGACTGCTTCACACTCTCATCGAATCAGAAGCACACGACGCCTGCTTAAAAGTTCTTGCTGGCCTTGCCAGGCTAAAACAAATCAATGGGGTGCACCCGCGAACTTTAGGCTTCAACATATCTCCGGAGTTTGCAGTATCTTGGCCTCCCCTCTTGGAACACAAGGGCAACTGTGACAGCGGACCTTGTATCACCAGAATTGCCCGCGCCTTGGCACAGACAACAACAATACTCTTGGCTAGGTAGAGGTTTCAGGCTTCAGGCCGCATTGGAGCTTATGACAGCGGCCTGCGAACAGCTACGGCGCTCTAGAAAGCGATTCAGATGCGCCTTTTGTGGATTTCACCTGTTTTTCCCCCTGTTGGTCCGTTTTTAGTAATTTTTTTTGTACTCTTTAAATATTGTACAGGGGCGGATCCACACAAGCCACATCTACACCGTTTTCTGGAAGCACGATCCCAAAGGCATTTTTACACATGTTAAAGGGCACCTGTTGTCCTGGTCTCAGGCCAGTTTTTAATCACGGAAGTTCCTGCGGGCCTCAGATGACCAACGGGATACTGGCACTTTGCATGTGCAGAGGACTTGGGGGAAATTGGCGGCCTAACGGAACCAACTGTGAGTATTGTTGTCCTAGCTTGGCATCCCTGCTGCTTTGTTCAGCTTGTTAAATGTGCAAGTTTGGCGGGCCTGTCCAAGTGAGAGACAGAACTTCAGCGGCTAAGATTTGAAGTGCGTGCAGCATGTAGAAGCCATGCAACCATTTGCGTGCTGAATTCAAGCAGAAAGGACCGGCTCCTGTTCAGGTACGCGTGTGTTGTTGCTTTTCCGCTCGCCCAGGCTCCCTCGATGCATCATCGCGGAGGGTGAGAAGGTGTGGTTGCTTCAGACAGAGACTTGCGTGGCCTTTGCGTAGTTTCGAGAAAAACACGTCGCCGGGATGAACATTCGGTTGAGAAGGTTGATGTATGGCAAACAAGTCAATGGCCTGAATCATAACGAGAACTAGTCCAATTGGTTTAGTAATGAGTCATGATATCATTCGTGGTTGTGACATTGGCAGGGCACAGTGACTCAAGTTGGGAGTTGTCACCAACGAGAGACTCCTGTTGACTCTTGTTTTGGCTTCTGCCTTTCCAAATGAAGGACACCCCCTTGTCGTGGCCAGCAAACCCTAACCTGTTGAGTAATCTTCAGAGAATAGGGCAACTTCAGACGTGTAAACGACCAGCCCCTGATACCCTTAAACAGGAAGCCCAAAGGATATTGTTTGAGCAGCAATGATGACCTCGGATTGAATCTAGAGGACCCCACTCGTCCGAGGAACCCTCTACAATCGATCATTTGTTACGGAAATCACTCCTAAGTAGTACGCCGGATGAATCCTTAGTCAACATGAGTGGTTCACGTGTGTTTAACTTGCTGGTGCTCAGCAGGAAATGCGGGAATGACCCTTGTAAACCATCCCTTGTGGTTTTCTTTAAGGGGACCCCTGGGTCCATACTGAGCACCAGCAAGCTAAGTGATTTGGCCCCCATGGCTAAAGGCTTACAGCTGAGTCTCGACTTTGTATCTCGCAGGTGCTGCCACACGCGCGGCTATGGTCGCCCTCGGCAGCCTGGCTGCAGCGGCCCGGGGCTCGTTGCATTCGTACCGATTTTCCAGCTGATCGGGGGAAAAAACCGGCGCCGTGCGGAGTTTCCTGTTTCTGATTGTGAAGTACGGTAATTGGCCCAGGTTCTATGGCCTTCAGGGGTGAGGGCGTTGCTATTTGTGGAAAATGGCATAGTTGCATTGTTGGCACCTGGCATTGTTGGCACCTTGCAAATGGGCATGTCTTGTGTTGCTGTTGTTCTGCGGAGTCTATCCACATCACCCCTGTTGAACACGTGAACCTCAGCTGACAATATGGAAACACACACTGGCAACATCTCCCAGTTGCCCAAGGTAGAATTAAACTCAGGGGGTGTTCGATTTTCCAAAATAGGTGAACCTTGGGCTTGAAGTCGACAATCCATGGGATATAGTTGGGTGTTGTCAAAAACAGGTGACTCAATTGAAACACCATCCAGAAGGTCTGGGTCGAAGATGGTGGCTGCTTCGTGTCACGTCCTGTCACCACGCCCAAGCTGTGGATTGCAGATATCCACCAAGGAGATTCCCAATCATGAACCATTTTCCTCTTGAATTCCCTTCAGCCACAAGCAGCTGTCCAGCTATGAACTCATATGAATCATATCAACTTATGCCCAAGTTGTTCAGCCTTTTTCTCTGTTTGGTGAGTTCCCCACCAGTACGGCCAAGGATCTACCCGGATCTACCCTGTAAGGTCTCACAGAGCTTAGCTCCGACAGTCCCAGTTTCACAACTCAGCCTTAAACCTGAGTCCTAAGCACCCTAGGCCCCACAACCCGTACAACACGTAAACAACATAAACACCCTAGACATAAACCCTGAAAACTCTGCAACGCCCTAAGCCCAAACGCTTAGCCTACCCAAGTCCTAAATCCTTACCCAGAAGGCCTCACAGATGACCTGGCAAGCGACTGGGGCGGATCGCATAAGCTGTCGGCCCGAAAATGGGGGTCCGTTCTTGTTGCCGGTTCTCAGGGCATGAAGAACCTGATCCCAAGGAAACCCAGCAGGGATTGCTAGACTGATAGGATGACCATTAAAAAAACAACCACTGAAAAGGCGATATGTGCCACTAATTGGGAAAAGTTACCTTTTGCTCAAAGGGAATATTGACCAACCCCCTGACAGTGGTCATTCCTCATTCCCGGACCCCGACAACCGGCTTTGGGTGCCTGCAACTCAACTCCTCGCCGTCTTGAGCGGAGCCTAGGAGCTAGATGCTGACTCTGTGCCACTGCAACCTGGCTTCAAGCAGGGACCGCCCAAAAGAATCGGGAGGTTGACATGGACACTTGGAATAAATTTGCAGCGAGCGCTAAAAAGCACAACCCCCTTGAATGAAGGTGGACGCAAACGGACCCCAAGTGTCCATTTGGATGCTTTTTGTTGGGGTCCCTTAAGTCTCCCGAAACAAGCGGAGCCAAAGAAGGCGTGCCCAACTGAAACTCACCATGTGTTTTGCCCAACCCTGTTTCTTTGGTTCCTTGGCAAGCTGGCAATTTGGAACACGTCCAGTTGACAGATGGTGCGAAAGAAGTGTTGCCTGTTGAGGAACCCCAGGCAGTTAATTCAAAAGGATCACTGTGCCTTGGGTGCAGTTACAATGCTGCAACCCTGCAAGAAGGGTCATCTGATTTCAGCAAGTCCCGCACCTGGAGTCTCCATTGCCTTCTGCGCCACAGCCTAGCTGTCGGCATGGGGATTGTTGATGTCCGGGGCCCAAGATCTTCAGATCTCAGAGTACCTTTTTGTTGGGCTCATTCAAAGGGGAAACCCGCCCTTTTTGGGGGGGTCCGTATTTTGAGACAACCACATTGCAAGAAAGGGCCTGTGACCCTTTCACTGTGTTGAGAACGTCAAATTAAATCAGGAGTCAGCAAAGCAACATGATCGCAGATGTGCACTATTCTGGTGCGCGTCGGGCAGTCAAAGAGCCGAACTCAACGCGACCTTCAGCGAAAAGTACCATTCAACGTTCACCTTGACTTGGAAACCCTTCAAGCCGTGTTTAAAGACCTTAAGGGAACCCGGTTTCCGCTACTCAAAACCACTGCAGGTGTTGCGGTGTCCAAGTTGCCTGATGGGTTCCTGTGCTGAGCATCCGGGGTCGGCACTTAGGACGCATGAGGAGGCAGTCGGCGATGCCGGGGTCTATGACGTCCCGGGGCAGCAGAGAGGGTCTGCAGGCCCCCAAGGCAATCCTACGCTACATCCTAAAGCTTGTTCAAAATAATTACTCCCCAATGATTAGCGGATGCGGTTTGCGCGGATTAGATTTTGCGGTTTGTGGATTACGGATTCTGAGTTGCTGGGTTTTCCATGCTCCAACATGCGGTTTTGACCTACAAATCGCAGCACGAAATCCGGATGAAGAAGACGAGGATTGAGCGGACTACGGATTGTGACTAGGCCCCCGGGATCACATAGCAGGATGCGAACTACTGTTGCTCATGAATGAGACGATGTTTCATGATACTATATACGGTGTGTGTATATATATATATTCCGTTGGAGAGCCGCTCTAACTTGTGACATCTTCTTAAACTGAGAATGGACAAGAGCGTTTCAACCCGTACAAGTTTCTTTTTCCTGAGCGAACTCGGCAAGTCCGCTGGCTAATTCGGGCATGGGAACAACACTTGAATATGATGGGTCATGCTCGCCGCTCTCAATCTGGATTCAGAGATAATAGTTGAAACAGTCGGCCGTTCAGAGGGTTGACAATCCTTGGAATTCACTTGAGTGGATGGAGGTCGAGCTCAAAGCACATTTTGGTTGTCAGTCTCTGCCAAGAAGAGACACCAAAGTTCGAAAGAACAGAACATTATGGAGTTCATAGGACCTGACAGGGAATAAGGCCTGATCATGTTGCACGGCCAACTGCTAGACTGTGCACTGAGGATCTTGGTCACATCCCACTGCTGAGGAGGAATATCTCGTGACTTGGGCCGCATGTTGCGTCAGAGTGGTTGTTGTGCTTTTCCTCGCAGTCCTGGCCCTTGCTGAGTTTACCAAACACCCGGCCACCCAAAGCTTGGCACTACCGCGCCCGCACGACTCCTGATCCCTCATAGCTAGCGCTTCCCAGCACTTATGGCCTTGGGGACGCAACAACATTGGTTTCCCAACTTGCAGACCAGCTGCTAGGTTTTTAAAACAAAAACACAACTAACTCCCAAAAACACATGTAACAGGTGTAGTCCAAATCCGTTTGGTTGCACCCTTTGGATCATCCTATTCGCTCTTGTTATGTTGTGCTGGGCCTGTTTTCACGGAACCCCATGGACAATATCATATCAGACATCTTTGGGGGGGTCCCTCTCCCTTTGGCGGCAAACTCATTTTCCAACACAGAAGCATCCCCCTCCCGAGGGAAGCTTACCTTGAAAGGGCCAAAAAAGTGATGTTTCAAACGGCCAAGCAAGGAAGGACATTATTTTGTTTTTTCCGGGCATCCACTTCTGGCAGAGGTTTCCTGTTGGGTTCCCTTTGAACAACCACCGGCGGCGGGCATCCATCCACAAGAAGGCGTGTGTGTTTAGGGTTTGATTCCCCATTCTTTTCAACCATCGTTCTTTTCAGCAGCCGGATCCGTTTCCCCTGCGTTTTCGTGAGGTTTTTTGGAAAGATTCGGATCCCTGGAAAGAATGGACATGGAAGGTACCCCTGGAGTGTTTCGTGACGGCAGGAAGATCGCCCTCTTCACCAGCGGTGCCATCCACGGAGATCTCTGCGAGATGACGCGGCCTAGCCTCGCTGTCGAATCGGTCGATTGGGTCGCGGAACCCCCGCGAAAGTGGCTGGGAGACCTACTAGGTCCGCCCAGTGGTGCCGTTTACCGTTTCTTTTTTGGGGGAGGGTTCCCCGACTAGAATGGACTACAGAAGAAAGTTGGTACCCTTATTCCAGCCTCTCTACTGGTCTACTGGAGGACCTAGCCTAAATCCCACGTAAATTGGTCGATCTTGCTATAGGTACAAGGGCAAATCTGCTTAAATTCAACCAGACCCTAGACTCATGGCCCTTTGTGGCCCGTCAAAGGAGAGCCAAGAGGTTGTAAGAACAAAAGACTTCATGAACATGTTTAGACATGGCCTAACCCTGGTAACTACAGTTGCCCAAAAGACCAATTGCTTTCCTCCCACATTGACATGACCCCTGATCTTCCCATGAAGCTGATCTTAGCTCCTGCCAGGTGCCTTTTGCGTTTGGAGTCCGGAAATCATCAGGTGAGGTTCGGGCGAATACAGTCCAGTCTCACCAAGTGGGGCTCGGGAGATCAGGAAGCTCACCAAGTTTCCCAGGTTGTTTTCGGGAAAGCGAGTTTGATCGTGGCGAGAGGTCACCCTGAGAGGGCACCGTTGCAAAGGTTACCCTGGTTCCTACCGCAAGGGAGAGCTGCGATGCTCGGGGGAGCCATGCGCCCAAACATGTGAGTGAAACCGCATAGGAGACAAACCAGCTTTGCAGGTCCTCAAGTCTTTGGAAAAAAAGTTTACTGCTTTTCCGAGGGTGGGAACATCTTGTGCACTTTCGAGTGGGAATTGCCTGCCCCTGTTGATAAGAGTAATGCGTTTGACATGAGGCCTCCTAGTGTCCCTTCAGGACAAGCCAAGGATCTTTGTACGGTACAATCCCATGCCAAGGTACGTCTTGGCTGCCTTTGGCCAGCCCGGCTGCTTGACCCCGCCCAACCCGCCTGGCGCGTCCAACCCCAAGATGAAGGCCGGCGCGACGTGTTGAGAGGGAGAGAGAGAGAGAGAGAGAGAGAGAACCGGCCAGTATTTTTGGAGACGGATCGACCGATGTGGCCATGGGTCAAAAAAATAGGTTCTAAAATGGGTGGTGCACCTACCAACCAAAATGGAATCCCAACACGGTTTTGACCCACAGCAATGTGTGGCCAGCAAAAAACCTGAGCGGTTTTTGACCAGGAGAGGTTGCCAAGGCCCAGTGGTGCAGACTTGTGCCATTGAGATGAGTTTCTGGTTTGCCCGGGCAGGAAACATTGCCCTGTCTGAAAACCGGCGGGACATTAGACATTTATGTTGGACACATGCTAGAAGGGAGACGCAGCTTTGCTGGACGGCTTGGTTGCTTCTGTCCATTTGATGCCAAGCAGGCAAACAGCAACGGTTGTACGAATTAGCGCTAGGAAAAGGGGGGCTTACTCACCAGCATTGTCACTATGTACGACAGGGCACGTGGGGCCAAGATCATTTATTGACCGTGGCTTCTTTCGAGCCAAACAACGCCCCCTTTGGGCGGTGGAGTTCGTGCCGCATCTCGAGGCCGGAGCCTTGACGGTGTTTGAGCCCTCGGAGCCGCTTGGAAAGGTCCGACACCTTGAGCCAGGAGTTGGGGAGTGAACTGAGAAGTGCACCCAGGCCCACGGGTGTTTTGCCGCATAGGGGAGCAGGCAAAACGCGTGATTTGAAGAAAAAGCAGAAGGAACCCCCATCCACTTTGTAGTATAACTGGGAAGTGGCTCACCCAGACACATGGGGAGTTCTCAAACCCTGTCTTGAGCAACCCCCGCATGGCCCCTGAGTGTTGGAGCAAATCACGTCATGCTCCGTTGGGCTCCAGGGTTGTGGGCTCACTCGGGGTTGATCCAACATGATCCAACCACTTCTGAGATACTTTTGGGAATCTCCCCCTTGATATGGGGGGGTTAGTCTTTGGGAAGCCCTTCATGTTGCATCACATGTCCCACAACCCTGTTCGGGTCGCTGGGGCACCTTTGGCCGCAACCAGACCGTAACGGGACCAATGTCAATGCGTCTCCTACAGGTTTGTTATCCCAAGTTTGCCTCGTTTCTTGCGTGTAAAGCAAGAAACACTGGCACAACACATGTTGTGTTGTTCATGAGTCAAAACAGATGTTCATTCTTGATATGAGTTGATATACGACAATTGGTATCCTGTGTCCTTTTTATGTTTCCGGGTGTCCCAAAAACTGCGGCGCCGGCGCGGTAGTTTTGCTTTGCCGAAGGGGCCAGGCTGTTGCCGCAGCCGCGGCGGCCTTCTCGCGGATTTCGCGAGCCGAGGTTCGCACCGTTTTGGGCACAGATCGAGGAAGCAACTTGGCAGAGGTCAGGTGGCCATGGGTCAAAATCCAAATCGGTTATCCCCCAGTGAACATCCCAATCCCCACTAAAATAGGTTCTAAAATGGGTGGTCCATTCACCTACCCCAAAATGGTAGCAAAACGGTTTTGACCACAGCCAGGTTACTTAGCGTTACGGAGCTGGTATCCAAGTTTGCTTTTGAAGAGGGAGCCGAGGGAGCTAAGGAGCTACCAGGAGTTCTGTAGGAAATGGTAGTGGCAGAAATCTCCTCTATATTTTGAGTTGTCGGGAATGGCAATAATGTTAAGGTCATCAGAAACTGGATGGCGATTGGGGAAAACCACTAAAAGCATGATATATCCCTCGTTTGATGACTAGCCAGAATTGATACTTGCCGTGTGTGGCACACCTGTTGGAAGTTGACTCAGCACCGCATACACATCTTGGTGGCTCCCAGCCATCCCCTTTGCCTTTTAGCGTTTTAGTGTTTAGTGGTAGTTTCCATTTCACCCACTAAAAGTTAAACTTTTAGCGGGGGACATGAGGGCAGCCCAGACATGTGAAATGCTCTTTTCTCTTCTCGCCAACCAGGTCCGTTTTTGCACCTTTCGAGTCCCTCGCCGTTTGGCCGGGACAGAGTGTTCGCAGCCACCCGGACCCACGTTTGACCCCTTTGTCCAGGTCATGAACATCTAAACCGAAGGCCCCCCAAAGACTTCGAAGGGTTTCATAGCCCTTGCTGGAACATGCCTGAAGTCTGGATGACACCACCAAAGTCAG